CGAATCTAATTCAAGAGAAATCAGCCACTCATGGTGAGGGCCATAACAAGATACAAAATGAAATTATAAGAAGAAGAAGAAATGAAGAAGACTCATTGTTCCCAAGCGATCAGTTTTCCACGTCTTTCTTGTGCTCCATTTTCTCTTGGGTCTCTCTTTTTTTCGATCTCTATTCGTCCCCCCTCTGTGTCTTCCTCAAAATCCCCTTTTATATGTATCTTTGAAAAAAGAAAAATTTAGGATTTTTTAATTCTGCCACTGTAGCTATGGATTCACGGCTGCAGTTGTAAAGATCTGGATTATCCTAATTACTTTGTTCTCTTACGGCTGAGGCTATAGATTCATAGTCATGGCTATACCTCTTTGGAATTCTTGTTTTGTTGTACAATTTCATGGCTGCAGTTGTAATTTAGGACTGTAGCTCTGGACTTCAGACTTCATCAAATTCTGTAGAAAAAGAGAGATATTTTAAACCAAAATACTACCACTCTTGTAACATCTTGAATTAGATTAATTTATCTACTCGAGGGATTAATATGCCTAAAATTATTTACATTTTAACCCAAAAGGAATGCCAAATTAATAATAAAACATGAATTTCTAGCACTTAATAGTAGTTGATGAGCTTATTGTGATTTTTTTTTGTTCCTGTTTGTTGTTTGGTTACGCTTTTGAATCTTTGATTTCAAACTCCTGGAATTGAACCACATACTAATGAACTTTTCTATTATTCTGAATGATTCATTGACTTGGCTTTATTAGTACGAGATGAATTGTTTTCTAATTAACATTTTAATTAGTAGATATATTTTGCGAAGATAAAAAATAAGAAACCTTGCACAGTTGCACCAAAGTCCCTTATGTTGTTGACCACGCCATAGATAAGGATTCATTGTATGAAGATAAGAGTTCCATCATGAGTGAATCATTTGCGTTTAAGGTTTTTTATGCTCTATAAATATTCTTCAATAATTTATTGCTTCCACATGAAGGAAATTTTTTTTTTCAATGATTAATTCTATGGTAGATTTTTTTATTTTTTTTTTATCTTAAGCAGGATTGGAAGTGTCAATTACAAAAGAGGAGATATAAAAGCTTGAAAGGAATAAGAACAATTTAAGTCATATCAGTACGGTTTTCTTAAAAGAGATGCTTGGGAATTTGATTTCAGACAAGTATTGCATAAATGCTGGTTGACAGTAATATAAAGTGGATACACATGCATGTCTATCTTGGTTCCATTTTAGCGAAAAAAATTATTATAAATTTAGATTATACAATTATATATGAATTATAAAAAATTAAAGTTGATTAAATATCATATAATCACTTAAAATTATGTGTAAATATTTTTTTATTTTAACTATTTAAATAAAATCACTTAGATAGGGAGACAAAACAGTCATCACTATCAAAACTGAAACTAATTCTCTAAAGTAACACATCACTTAGGCACGCTAAACTTCAAACAAAGCTACCTTAAACTTATTTTTATTGGTCCATGTGAATAACACATATAATCCTAAACTAACAATGGACTTATTCACCTAATTACTGAATAAAGGTTCAACAAACAACTCATTATAGAGAAGTTCATGTTTATATAAAGGAAGTAACCCTCCGTCATAGCTACGTTGTTTCTACCCTACCAAAACTCTGAAAATCCCTATTGATTTGAGCTTAATTGGGAGTGTTTTTTTCTTTTTTTGGCCGGAACGCTCTCTTCCATCAAACTCTTACTAGGATAAAGGAACTGAACAATAGTAATTGTACTTGTTAGAGTTTTACATTTTTTGGTGTACAATACAGGTCTCTAATAGTTTAGGATCAAATGCATTATGCATAGCTATACTGCATATTTACCAAAAACATGTGAATTGTGAAACCAAATACTATAGATGTTGCTGAATCGTGATCTTCCACTCAACCTTATTCATTAGTACAAGAATATGTTAATTTGCTTTTTCAAAATAGTGTAACATGTATTAAGTGGCTTGCCATGCACATCAATTAAGTGATCTCCTGTTACGTTTTTCTGGATGAGAAAATTGGGGCACTCGTTCAGCCTTACTAGTTAAGTTCTTTGATTTATTAGATGGATTACAGATCCTACTGTCTTTGGTCTAATCAAAGTTTCACTAATATTCTGTTTTCAACTTTTCCTGTGTTTTATTCCCTTCAAATAAAATTTATATTGAACCATACACTAGTTATTTTATCAATGCAAATATAATTGGGATGATATTTCAGTCACATTTTTCAAAATAATAATAATCCTTTGTGCGAGCTTTGATGACTCTACTTGCAGGTTCAGCTGACACTTACCTTCCAGAACAGTATAGAGCCCGAGAAGCACCAAGCAGTGACACTATGGTCTGACTTTGATTTATTGTATGTAGATGAGGGAACTCTACAATTTGATTTTAATTGCAACACATAGTTGTCCAAGGAAGTCCAATGTTTTTTCTGTTCATAAAATTATGTAATCTGCTTGTAACATTAGCCGGTAGTAAAGTAATTCGGCAACTTTATTTGATAAAGCTACAACTTTGGCAATTCGTTTATTGGTATAAGTTTGTTAACTTCATGGTGCTGATTTAATTTTTTTCCAATTTCAAAATTACTACTACTTAATTAATTCATATTGTTACAAATTTTAATTCAATTATTAAATTTTATTAAATTAAAATTTAATTTTGTAAATGTGTAACTAAGTTAGGATAAGTGGCAAGATTAAAAGAGTTGACAATTAGAGAGACAAGCTGATATAGGTTTAGATTATCAAAATTACAACCAACCAAAAAATACTATCAATGTATAAATAAAAATACTAACAGCGTTACCTTAAATTAGTATTTGAAAGGTGATATTTTATAATGGGAAGGATACAAAACCAAGATTTCTCTATATAGAGATAAAAGTGACTAAAATATGTTTAACTAATCAATCCATTTAGAGACGTGTGAGAGGAGATCCTCTTCCCAATAGCACTTTTTTTATACATACAATTTATATTCTATGTATGTATATACCCTATACGCACATATAAGCAGGCAAATGTACCTTAACGATACACTTACTATTAGTTTCATTTGCGATATTTTAAAACTTCTACGTTTTTTTTAACAAAACTTCAGTTTGGGCTAAAAATTCAATAAGTAGATTATCAGAAAGTTTAAAAATTACAAAAGAAAATGTTCTGAAAATGTTTAAATTAATGAGATTTAAGACTCAACTTATCAAATATAAAGAGAGAACAAAGAATTTCTGTAATAACAAAATATATATTAATTTTAATTGTAAGAGTAAAATAAAACACAAATTATGTATTTTTAATTTTTTAAGTTATATTTTTTAAAATTTATTTGAAAGAGAACTTAGTTTTTTGAAAGAAAAAAAAACAGTTATGTATATTAAAATTTTTATTAGTATAACATGTTAAAATATTAACAAATAATAAGAAATTGTCGCTTTAAAAAAAAACACTTAATGATACTAAGCCGATTGAATAAAAAAAATGAAGCATAATGTGAAATTTTTTAAAATTATTTTAATTTTAACAAACCTTCAGTATATTATAATTTAGGTTAACTGAACAGTGCTCTATACGGTATCTTTAAATTTAAGAAAGCATTTTATATCTTTTTTAATTAATAAGTGTGATTTTTTTAATATTTTAAAAATTAAAAAATATTAATATTTTTTAATTAAAATACTAAATTTATTATTTATTAATATATAATTAACGAACCATTGTTTCACGTACAAAAGAGAGAAACAAACCTTGAATACAGTAGATTTTAACTTAGATTAATTTTGTAACTCTTCATAATTTTAAAACTTTTATTTCAGTCCCAAAAAATTAAAATTTTTATCAAATATTTACAATTTAAAAATGTTATGGCAAAGTCCCTAAAAGATAACGTTATTAAAATTCTCGTAAGTGTTCCTGAAGTGATATTTCTGACATAACAATAATTTATAAATATACGCAAGTGTAAATCGTCTCATACAGAGGCTAACTTGACTTTTCGCATGTCCTTTCTCAATTTTATCCAAACGCCAAATTTCAACCAGACCAAGTCTTTTTGCAAAGGTATTCAAGCTATTTTGTAGAGAGAGAAATTTCGAGTATTATCGTGTTAAAGAAAGAGTGCGTGAAGAAAAATAATAATGGTACAATAATAGTGTCTTTTTTCTTCTTTTTTATACGTTTTTAAAAGTGAAATGGCCTAACATCGTCTAATGGTATAATAATGCACGAACATGTTTTATAAAAGACAAATTTGAAAGGATACCAGAGCATACATGCCTGTGTTTGAGGTTTGGGTTCCAATTTACATGCGAAAAAGTAAGCTTTATTTCCTTCCATGGTTTTAGTTAGACGTTTTTAAAAACAGGCTTACTCCTAAATTTTTTACAAATTTTCGTTATCTTAGTTTTTGGCGACAACCATTCTGCCTGTGCATTCTTGAAGAAGGATTCGTTTCGAAAAACCAGAGTAAAGCTAGATGTATGGATAAAACCTATCCAATCATTTTAAATTAGATTCCTTGTTGACGGTGGAAATTGTGATTATAAGAGTTAAAATGTAATTTTACTGTTGGGATGTGAAGGACATCATGGAAATTTAGAAATAAATATGTTTTCCCTCATGCATGGTAATGATGTTATACACTGGTCCTTGCCAAGTTTTCCTTTTAAATTAGTCATTGTTTCTTCATTTATTTTCTAAAATTATCGGCTATAACTTCCTTGGCAAGAGAAATGTTTATATAATGACAAGGTTATCTCCAGACATGTATTAAACAGAGGACCTTGGGGCTAGAGCAAATTTTAAAAGGAAATTTTAAAACCATAAAGATTTAATTAATTTTTATTAGCTATAGGAACCTGATTAGAAATTTAGTGAAACTACATGGCCATTCAAAATAATTTAACTTATTCTCTACTCTTAATAGTAAACAGCATTGATAATTAAGGACATGCATAAAATTAATGTTTAAAAAAGAATAAAGAGACGAGAGTCATCACACTCTGTAAATAAATTATTATCATATCATTCTCTGTTAAATAATAAACATTTATTTTGGACCAAAACAATGACAATTTCACCTCTAGAGGGCACAAAAAATATACGAGGCTGACCGCATTTGAGAGATCAGCAAATAAAATTATATCAATCTAAAGCATCTAACACTGCATCAACAACCTCTTCGGTGGTGCTTGTCCCTCCAAGGTCCTTTGTCCGGTATTTTCCCTCCAGAATGACTCGTTTCACAGCAGTTTCCAATCGGTCAGCAAATGCAGGAAACTGGAGATGTCTAAGCATCATGGCCGAAGAAAGGAGGAGAGCAACTGGGTTGGCTTTCTTTTGAATCACTACTTTCTCATTACCAACATTTCCTGCTGAAGCACCTTGTTCAAACACAGCGTGATCAGCCCCAACATTACCTGCAAAGGCATGGCAATTACATTTTTGAGATGCTCAATTAAGTACAATTTATCTTCATTATCACTTATCTTCATTAGCTCTATCTACTATTTTCGTTAAAATCTTTTCCATCCTACTGGCAGCACTGCCACCACCCAGCCCCAAAACCACCATTCACTGACTTCACCACTGTTATTTTGGTTGTCACTACCATTTTGACAATTACATTACCCCACCATCTGCCATCACCTCCACTACCGCAACCTGACATTGAGGTAGACAAATGAACTTCCAGTTTGAATTTAATGACCTCTAATTTTTTCTTTTCTGTGAACAATGAACTCTAATTTAATTCTCCATCCTACCAGTAGCACTGCTTGCATCACAACCTTGACCTACTGTTATTTAGGTTGCCAGTTGTCACTACCATTTGACAACTGCTTTACCCCAAAGTGGCAGCGGTTGCCTCCACCACTGCAACCTGATGTTGTGGTAGACAAATAAACTTCCAGTTTGAATTTTATATGGCCTCTAAATTTTTCTTTTCAGCGAAAATGCAATCTCTAATTTACTAATGCATTTTAGTTGCAGATTTCTGATCGCATGAAAATGTCCCCCAGAATGATCATCTGAAAGAACTAGTGATACACAGTAAATGAACTCTGAGCCTAGGACTCAAAAGTTCTGAGTATTTGGCACACACACATCTCATAACAACACTTACAATGTGGAAGTAAGAAAGCATTTAATGAGAAAAATGGCAACATAACCAAATTAAAACTCTAGAGCTCCAATATATAGTAAATAAGAACCATACCTCCCGGCATGACTCCAGTGCCTCCAGCAATACCTGCTGCTGTATTTGCAACAAGATTTCCATAAAGATTGGGGGTTACCTAGCAAGTGGAAACAGAGCAGAAGAACTTCAAAATCCTTCTTTGGATTGAAAAACAAAGGGAAAATAAAAAGGATCAAGGCCAGTTAATTGCAAGAAAGACCCATCAGGTCAATCAGCAATCTCCTGCAATGATTCTAACTAGCACAGTGGCACACAAAAAAGGACAAAATTTGTGTCTTTTTTATGTTCCACACAGTAGTAACAGTACATCTACATGCCCCTCAAGGTAAAGCAAGTTTTAACTCCATTCATTATTATGGATCCATTCTTTATCTATTCCCACAGGAAAAAGGGAGATAAGTGTAAATCTTTATTTCCAACTGACAGAATATGGCTGTTACAACTCCATTCATTATTATGGATCCATTCTTTATTTATTCCCACAGGAAAAAGGGAGATAAGTAAATCTTTATTATAAAAATAGTATAAAATATTATAAAAATATTTTTATTTTTATTTTATTGTTTTATATATTTTTGTTTTGCAAATTTGTATAAATCAATGATATATTATATCTTCATCATATTTTTGTTAATTATTGAATGAAATTTTGAGGTGAAGAACTTAATTAAACAATTAAACAATTAAAAAATTATAAGAACTAAATGTGAACAATTAAAACTAAAAGTAATAAAATCACACGTAAGATAAATGTAAAAAAAATCATCATAAGCTTCGTAACTTTGCTTATATAATTTTCTGCAGTCTTTCCTGTACTGATTTCTCTTGCAAAAGTAAAGAAAACAAAGAGAGGAAAAACCCACAGTACTAATTCTCCACAGAAATGAAAGGAAAATATGAAAACATAAATGGGTCACAGTTTAATAAAAGAGTAGCTAATCTCACTGATAAAGTGATATACCTAGTGGGAAAAAATAGAAAGCAAGTGCTGATCCCCCATAATTATTCCATGAATTTATTAATCAAAAGATGGATAAATATTTGAGAATCAGGATGAAACAGTAAATTCACATACCATGACATCAAACTGTTCAGGCTTTGAAACAAGCTGCATGCAACAGTTATCTACGATAATTTCATTATACTTGATTCCAGGATACTTTCTAGCAACCTCTCGGCAGGATTCCAAGAATAAACCATCTGCAAGTTTCATAATGTTTGCTTTGTGCACAGCAGTCACCTTCTTTCTATTATTTAGGTATGCATACTCGAAAGCATATTTAGCAACGCGCTCAGAACAGAACTTTGTTATTACCTAGCAAAATATTAGTATGAGGGACAAACATAAAACCCATAGTTCTCAATATGAAGGTGCAAACTTCAGGAGAGATATACATTGAAAGTTTACAAAAAAATAATCTAGAAACATTACAAGGGAAAATGACTCGTCCATAAATAGTCCTCTAGAAATCATGAAATATCCGAATAACAATCACAAATAACAATCTTTAGTCAAAGAACTTGGAAAGACGGCGATGTGGGGCAGCACATACACAACTCATACAACGGACAAAAACAAATACGCAACAGTCACTCTCAATTAATTCAGTGCCTGCTCTAATTTTTTTGTCACTGTTAGCCTTTTTATCAGGCACTCTATAGATGATTGCCAGCTGCCACAAATATGAATATATGATTATAAACACTTCCATTAGATGCAATACTAATATATTATATAAGGAGCTACGGTAACCTGATTCCAAAAGGAAGTTAAATAAACGTGTTTCACCACCAATTAGTATTTTCCTCTACTATTGCTTTTGAAAGAATTAGCACTTAAATTGGCACCCCAATCCGCCTATTAATTTATAGATAAAATTGCTCTATGAACTCCTATCCGGAATTCGGAAACAAGTCAGAAAAAATTCCTCACATCCCAAGCACATCTTGAGATCTCTAACTACAACTTCCAAACAAACTACAAGCAGTTTTACATCAACTGTTTCCATTTCATTCAATCTTTTCTATACGCATGTATGAATTAAAATACAAGTAACCCAACTATTTCAATACTCAAAAATCAGTCACTACTCGATTCAGCAATCACAACCCAATCATCAAACGGTTCAGACCTAGACATTCAAAAATAGAAACTCCGCAAATCCTCACATTTCTAATCATCAATTCTCGACACTAAGCATGTTTGAATTCGCTTAATTATACGAAAAAACAGTTCCATTATTTTTTCGCTTTGAAATTGATTTCAGTAATACTCAATTATTAGCTATTTACAGCACGAGTAACCAAGGTAATGGAAACAAGATGCGAAAATGCAAGTACCTTGAGGCTTTCAACAACGCCGGGAACGACCTCGTGTTCGAGGCCGGAGTACTCTCCCTCAGTGTTCTCCCTGATAACGACGATATCAACATTTTCGTGGCGCGTGGGAAGACCAGGTAGGTTGAAGCAGTTAACGAGAGAAGCGTAGAGATCCAACTCCTTCCTCAGCTGAACGTTCAGCGAACTCACGCCACCACCCATGGGAGTGGCGAGCCCTCCCTTCAAACACACCTTGTTCTTCTTAATCGATTCGATCACCTCTGGAGGCACCGCTTTCATGTCACCGTGCACCTCGTACTTCTCGAAGTACACCGGCGCGTGCATCGCCTCCATCACCTGCTCCACCGCGCCGGTCACCATAGGCCCGATCCCGTCGCCGGGGATGAGAGTCACGGCGCGCGGGGCGCCGTCTCCGGGTCGGGGCATGTAGGTGACCGAGCGGGTCGGGTTGAGCCGGGTGAGGAGTTGCTTGAGGAGCGGCGCGGATCGTGTCGTCGCCATTGAAGGTGGCGCGTTAGGGTTTTGATGTTTCGGTGCGTTGATTTTGGGTGTCCCAGTGACTATGATGTGAATGTGATTCGAGAAGCCATGTAAAAGGTCAAAAGCGCTGCGAGAAAACGCAGGAATCAAGTAGCGAAATTGTAGTAAGACTATTATTTTATTTTTAAGTTTAATTTATGTCGGAAAATAATTTATATTGGAAAAATATTAAAATTTGTAATTTTTAACAAAAAATCAAATAGTGTAAAAAAAAAAAAAACTTTTGTTAAAATTCCCAAATGTGCTTAAACTTTAACTGATTAAGCAGCTTCTTTTTCATTTTATAAAATAAAAGTGCAATGTTATTATCTACCTCTACCAGCTAGGAAGAAGAAAAAATGTGTGTACTAAAAGAATATGATATTAATGAACAAAATAAGGGACGCAGATATAATACAATATTGTTATTGATACGTTGATTGAATATGATGAGACTAGAATATAAAATTAGTATAAAATATAATTAAAAAATAAAAACAAATATTGATGTTTTATTATTTTGCTGGTATATATTAAAATAAATATGATTATTGAAGTATCAATTACTTTCGAAATTATGTGCATTTTCATAAACTTAATATGCTTAAAGAAGTTCAATCAAATGATTATATCAATAAAGTTTAAGATTAATAAAAATATTAAAATGAATAAGATCTTATTTATTTTTTATTTTTAAAATTCGTGTTTTAAATAAAATAAATAAATTTGCTTATTTTAATTAATTTTTTATTTTTTTTCTTAAAAACAGTTTTACAAACCCTAAGTTTAACAAAATTGAATTTCCACTTATTAAATAGTAAATATGAATTATATTTGCATTTGGAAACACACGACATTGGCGATAAATAAATTAGATTGACAGTATTAATTTTGTTAATAAAGAGTGATGGGGAAGTTTCGTCAACTTTTTTTTTAAGAAAAAACGACTAATATTCATTGATAAAGAAAATTTAAAAATAATATATATATATATATATATATATATATATATATATATATATATCAGGAAATAGCGTGTAACAATAATATTGAACAACCTTAAACTATTACAAAGATTGTATTATTATGTTAGGATAAATAGTGAAAAATACAAAATTTTGAAAAATAAAATGATAGAAACTAATAAAAGTATTATTTGAATAAATACAAAAGAGAGTATAAAAATAATTAAACTATATTTAAAAAATAAAAATATTAGATTAATTCAACAAATTAATCTTTTATAATATTATATAAAAAAATATTTTTTAATTATAAAAACAGTATTTTGTAATTTAATAAATAGATTAAAAAAAATGTACTTGTTGTCCCTCCTCTCACTTTATCTCATTTGAGAATATTTTTTTATGTGCTCAATCTCAAAAATTCAATCACTCTTTTATAACTTTTACATTTAACACCTTTTTTTTTTTCTTTCGAGTACTTTTCTTATTATTATTTTTTTGTCTTTTGTAAAAAAATTTCTATCTAAACTATTTCCTCTTTTTTTTTTTTCTTCATCTTATTGGTTTTTTTTCAATTAAATTATACCTTTACCACGTCATACCATTTTCCTAAGCTACTTTTTGTGTGGTTATTTAACTTTGATAGTTGTTTTTTTTTTTTTTTTTGCTTATGCTTGAAGAAAAAAGAGGCTTCACACCATTCAAATTAAATTTTTAGTTATTAATTTTGCATTGATAACTGATTTATTTTTGAACTTATGCTTATTCAGAAAGACAAAAAAATGAAAAAAAAAATTATGACAAAGGAAATTGTGAATTCAATTGTTATTTTAAAGTATTAAAAATATTAAATTAATTAAGATATAAACGTGGTTACTTGCTTTTAATGTATAGTTATAATATTATTTTTTATTTAGCATTATTAGTTGTAAACCTCGTTAAACATTTTAAATCTTTGAACTTAAAAAAATCCACTTAAACTTGGAGTTTATTTGTTTTTTTATCTTTAAAAACAATTTTTTTTTATTTTTTTAAAACAATCTTTTAAAATTTTTAAAAATTAAAAACTAAAACAGAAACAAACAAATTCTACTTTTTCTTCTTTTTGTTTCTTTCTCTTCCATCTTCCAAAGTGTTAGGGTTATATCAAAGATGTCAACTATTTCTTCCATATATATATATATATATATATATATATATATATATTATTTTTACTTATGTTCTAACTTTTTTGTTGTTTTAGAATTAATTTATTATTTTTTTATATAAATAATCATTTCAATTAGTTATAACTCTCATTTAATTTTTTTCATTTATCAAATATATAATTTTGTATTAAAAAATAATTCAAGGATTTTTTATCATAAGCCAGTATATTTTATTAAAAAAGTACCACAAGCACACTTCTGAAATGCTTGATAATAAAGTTTGAGGCAAAAACGTATTAAAATCAAATACTTCTAATACCTCTAAACACATAAGTGAATGAACCCAAAACAAAACACATTAAAACATGTTGGTGAAAAGAACTTGGGTTTGCTTTTCAAAAAACTAGTTTGAATACCACCATGCTGCCCAAGACAAAATATCCAAGAAAGCTCCTATGATCAGAAAAGAACCTGGGTTTACTGTCGTACGAGGTTCCATTGTAAGGATCCACAGTGATGTCTGGTTATTCTTTGTAGCAGTACTTTTATTTTTAATAACTTAAATTCATTAAAAATAATGTTAATTTAATAAATTGTATTTTATAAAAAAGTATAATTATTAATAAAGAATTGTGCTAAAAAGTATGTATTAAAAGGTATGTGAGTGGCACTCCACTTGATAGCCGAAGAGGTGGGACTTGGCTTTAACGGGGAATGTTTGTGGACGCGTAAAAGACCACATACAACCTAGTCATATACAAAAGGTGTCGAAACAGATCCAAAAGCAGCCACATCGTTTATCACAGTCAAGCACATTTTAATCTAATATTTATCAAAGAAAAGTGGTAGAGTTGTGGAGAGTTGACGGTGGCTCAACCACAACTTGAAGACAAGACAAGTTCATGCTGCTTAGATCTTATTAATTATTGGTTTGTTGAATAATGGTTTAGTATTGTCCTCAATCTTTTTGTGTTTTCTGCAAAATCGAGTTGGATTAACTTATTTTGCATTTTTAGATTGTCGTTTATTATGATGGATTTGGGGAATCAACTAAGTGTTTGTCCTTTTTTGACTTCCAAATTACAATAAGGTTATGTCTCAAGTGGAGTTTAATTTTGACGATGTGTGTTAAATTTTTACGTTAATAGGTTAATTTTTAATTTATTTTGCAGATTGTTGAAATAAACACTTCAAGTTTAATTAGAGAATAATATCAACACTATTTATTATAAGTTTTGTATTTATTTTTTTATTATAAAAGTTAATAAAATGCATTGATAACAATTTTTCAATGTATTAGTTATTTCTTAATTATTATTTTAAAAATATTAGTTAGTAAGATTCTATCTTAAATAATGTCTTAGCATATATTAGAATAATAATGAAATTTTTTTACTTTGATCATTTTCGTTTTTATTTTTAAGATTTTTAAATGTAATAACATGCATAATATTTGATACATGTATTCTTTTAAGTGTAACTTTTATATTTAATTATAAATTATTAAATCTCACAAAATGATAGTTTATTTTAATTATATTTTTTTTGACTAAAAATGAATACATAAAAATAACATGTTAATAACAATGGTATCTTGCTTTCAACGTTCCTGAGAATGGCTCGAGGTGGTGGATACTGTTCCCCTTATCTTGCACCGTCCCAACTTTTGGAAGCTACTAAAATTCTTGGCTATTGTTCTAGTTAGGTTAGTCTATGGATTGGATTTACTTGTTTTTTAAATTTAAGTTCTTTGTTTTGATATAAAAAATATATATGTTATTATTAAATTTGGTTTAGGTTTTGTAAAAATTTAATTTAATCTCGATTTAATTTAATTTGATTATTTGGTTCTTATAATTTTATTTTTAAGTTTTTAGAAGATAATTAAAGTATTTTATTATCTCTTATACTGATTTTTTATAAAAATAAAATAAAATAAATATAAAAATTATGATGTATAAGAATAATTTTTAATTAATTTAAAACAAATATAACTACAAATATATTTTTATATGCATTATACATGTATCATTAATTAAATTTAAAATATACTGTGTAATTTTTAAAATTAAATATTTTTTATGAAGAATTAAATATTATAAACATTAGCAACAAAAAAGTTTATTATATTAAATAAAATTTAAAATAAACTATAAAAATTTAAGTTTAAATTAATATTAAATTAAACAAATAAGTATATCGTATATAAAAAATCTCTTAGTATGATAATATAATAGTAATAATTTATAAACTTGTTCATATTTAAGAATAGTCTTAAAAATGTTCTTGTTTAAAAATTTATTTATAATTTGTAATTAGAAGTTGATAATAAGATATAATTTTTATAAAATTTAAAAAAATTCAGTATTATAACTAATACACTTAAAATTATAATTTTAATGAATAAATTAGTTATATATACTTAAAAATATATAAATTATTAATCACTATTTTTAAAATCAAAATACACCGAGTTACATTAATTAATTATCATAAAATTTTTTATACAAATTGTGATTTTTATTAATTTAATTATTAAATTATAATTATAAATCATTTTAATCATATGTGTTAAATTTTATTAAAAATTAAACAACTATAAAAATAATAATTAAATAATTCATATTTGTATATGGTTTAAAAAATATTATATTAATTTGGATATATTTAAATAAGATATTAAATAATTTAAATTGTTTTAAAAATTATTTATATGACAAAATCTATCTAACTCAAAATATTAAATAGAAATTATTTTTGAAAAAATATTTTTAGAAGTAGTATCTTCTTTTATATGGAACATTTTTATATATATGAATTTTTTGCAAAATTACAGAAATATGATTTTTTGAAAAATTGCCATTGATAACTTTTAATATACCTTTTAAATATTTAATTATTTTTTTAAAAATCATCATTAGCAACTTTTATTTTTTTAATATTTTTTAAAAAAATCGTCATTAGCGACTTTTTAACTTTTATCACTGTTATATTATTTTTATTTCTGAATATTTGTATTGCATGAACTCCATATTTCTGTACTTTTGCAAAAAAATTCATATTTTTTGTATTTTAAAAAATAAAAACCATATAAAAAAAGTACCCTCTTTTATATGGGTATTTTATTATTATTTTAAAGTATTTATGACCTTGATTGAAATAATAATAATTATTAATAGAAAATTCTCTGCACAAATTAAGATATATATATTAGAGTAACGATATCCACTTTAAGGGGGCTTGGGCATTGGAAAGAGAGAAGGCAAGGAAGGCATGTTGGAGAGGCACAATCTCAACCATTCATAATGGCACTTTTCTTTTTTGTGTATTTTCTGTCATTTCATATTTCATCTGTGCCACCTTTTTCCCTTTAAAAACAAAACCAGAAGAAGAACCACTTTCTACTCCCTACTCATGGCTTGTCTCAGCCACCACCGCACCTGGCCGGTTCCCTCCGACATGCTCCAACGCTTCCCCCAACCCTCTCCCTCCTCCGCACATCGCATCTTCCCCGTTTACGCCATGGGCCTACCCGACCCCAATCCTGGACCCGCCTTGGACGCCTCTGACCCCATTTGGGATGCTGTCAGAGACGAAGCCAAGTTCGAGGTTCGTTTATTCCTTATTATGCTTTTCATTCCTTGTTAAATGTTAATCGCGTTTTGCTTGCAGGCAGAGAAGGAGCCTATTCTCAGTAGCTTCTTGTACGCTAGCATTTTGTCGCACCATTGCTTGGAGCAAGCATTGGCCTTTGTTGTTGCCAACCGTCTCCAAAACCCTACTCTCTTAGCCACTCAGCTTATGGATATTTTCTCCAATCTCTTTATGCATGACCAAGCAATCCAGCGATCCATTCGCCTCGATCTCCAGGTATTTTCGTCGTCGTTGTTTACGCATGTTCGCCATGTTTATCCATTAAAATTAGAGTTTTGCTTCGATGATATATAACGACGGTGAATACAATTTTTTTATTAAAATAGGGTTTTAATTTTAATTGAGAAACAACGCTTGAGTGTGTTTGGAAATACTGCTCAATTAAGTATTTATTTAATACGTTTTCGTAAATATAGTAGTAAAATTTATTGAGATGATTTAATACATGTAACAAGAAGCTTATTAAAACAAGTTGTTATGGTAAGGTGTTAGTAAACTTTTCCAAACCGGTCTTAATAGTACCTAAAGAACACTATAAGTTTTTGTCCTATTCCCATTTCATTCAATCGAATAGAATTGAATTTCATTTAATTCTTGTGTTTATGTAATTTAATCTGAACAGGCATTTAAGGATCGGGACCCTGCTTGTTTGTCCTATTGCTCTGCGCTTTTGTATATGAAGGTAAGTAAGTAACTTTCTATGCCTTTGTTTTCATTCATAGGATTCATTTGTGGTATTTAATGCTTTGCTATTCATGATCTGTGGGGTTGACAGGGTTACCATTCTCTCCAAGTCTATCGAGTAGCACATGCATTGTGGCACCAGGGACGCAAAGTATTGGCCTTGGCCTTGCAAAGCCGTGTTAGTGAGGTTCTTTTCTACTTCCTTAAACTTTTTAATATAAGGGTGTTTCGTGTTCCTGTTGCCCATAATCCAATCCCTCGTCTTTTCCCACGCAGGTTTTTGGAGTTGACATTCATCCTGGTATGCTGCTTTCATATTTGCTTCCAAATACTTCCTCTATTCCTTAAGAGAAGCAGTTTAGTGTTGCAAATAGATTCATGTTATGCCTGCCACCAACTTAATTTTCTAAATTAAGGAAAATTAAAGAGATTAATAAAATAGAAAATATTCTCGAGGGTTCTATCTTTAGTTCTTGGTAGCATGTAGATAACTGATTTCCTTTTCTTTTATTTAGTGAGAGAGCTGATGACTTGAGTTTTGTCTTGAAGGATGTTTGTCTCTCTACTGAATATATTGAAAGCTCTTTTGTCTTGGTCATTACTATTATTTAACTTTTGATTTTATGTTTTCTTTTATATATATAGCTGCGAAAATTGGGGAGGGAATTTTATTAGATCACGGGACAGGTGTGGTTATTGGTGAAACTGCTATTGTTGGGAACAGAGTTTCATTGATGCATGTGAGTGCGTTTCTTTATTGATTTTTTTAATGATTATATTTGCTAATAGTTCTTTTTCAAACGTTATTCATGTCAAATAAATTAGCTTTTTTATTATTTCCTGAATGATGTCATTTTAACAAATTGGCTCTTGCATAAGAGGAGTTATAAATTATTTGAAATAAAAATGTTTTCAACAGTTCATATTTTCTACACAAGAAACTGACGTTAAATATCTAACAACTCCACTGACACAATGGTCCTGGAAACAGTTTCTGAAAGCTATTCTGATTCCACTTTTCAACTCTGCTCCCTTTTCTTTATTTCTAAGAGAGAACATTTAAGAAATTGGTTTCTTCTTGTTATTAGTAAAGCTATTTTTAACCAATGCTATTATTTTAACCCATTCATTATGCTTTTTGCATGATATATTTGATTTGAAAGGGTGTAACATTAGGAGGCACAGGGAAGGAAATAGGTGATCGTCACCCCAAAGTAGGTGAAGGGGCACTAATTGGAGCAAGTGCAACTATACTTGGGAATATTAGGATTGGTGAAGGTGCCATGATAGCTGCTGGCTCCCTCGTGTTAAAAGAGGTCCCACCCCACAGGTATTACTGGATAGCTGCTGTTTTATTTGCTATTGTTTTAGAGATTTGGTTAACTTCAGTCTTTAAGATTTAAGATTGAGTTTAAATATCTTTATAAATAATAAAATTTTATTGAAAAGTATAACATTTATTATACTTTTATATTCTTAAGATAATAAATATTTTTTACCAATAAAAGTTTACCACTTTTAGTTACTTAGAGTAGAAGCTAACATTTTCCTTCTTTTAAAGCATTGCGGCAGGAATACCGGCAAAAGTTATTAGTGGTCTACAGGAGCATGATCCGTCTTTAACAATGAAGCATGGTAAGCAACACTTGGAGCTTGCCTTATTATTGAAAATTTCTTGTTTCTCTCGCTTTGTTAAAGATAAGGGGTCAAGGCCTAAATTCTTCGGTCTCGTTTGTCCCGTGATTCATTAGACCAGTATGCTTTCCCGATTGCTATTATAGTGAATTGGCCAAAAGTTGTTTACAGAAGTTATGCTTAGTGTCACATTCTCTCTTGCTGTTATATGATTATGTTTATTTATGGTACAGGCTGGCTTTATTCTAGCATGGCAGTTCAGTTCCTTCAACCAGTAACTCTAGGATTCTCTTTATCCCATCATTGGAGTAGTTAGTTATCTTCAGTACCCATTATCAATGAAAATGTTCTTGAAATTACATTTTAATTCATATTGTAAGAAATCCACCATAAAAGAAACCTCTCCGAGTCATATAGGGAGTACTTTAGGGCAAATAGATTATCCTACTCTGGTTTCAATTGCACTTTTAACTTGTCTTTTATGCTCTAGGCAACTTTCGTAGTATAAATTATTGTTATCAAAATATTTCAATGTACATGTGTTCCTTATATCTCACATAATTTTTGTTCTCGTGATTGTGTAGATGCTACAAAAGAATTTTTCACACATGTAGCTACAAACTTCAGAGATGAAAAGCCCAGTGGTTAGCTTTCTTCCTGTCTTTTCCTTCTGTTTGAATATAACAAAAAATTCTCTAGGACCAAAAAATTCCCATGCTTAAGATTATTAGTATTCACCTATTACTCGTTACCTTGTTCAAGTTGTTAACTACCAAGCTTATTTTTCTACCTATCTAAAATCTTAAAAATGCTTCAGGAGCTCAGAATCCAGATAGAGATGAAGTGAACACTTGAGGTTCGATAGCGTTGGTCTCATTTGCCATTTATTGCCTTCAAAGGGAAGAATAAGAACCAGTTCAAAATGATAACTTCGATCTTGATTAGTTTAGTATTAATAGTACTTTATACTTCCCATAATTGCGATTTATGGTGCCGAGGCTCTTGCACCAGTATAGCGAATTCCTGTGAACAAACTTAAAAGCAGACGCAACTTGTCTCTATCTTCTGCTTCTTTTTTTCTAAATTTAATTTTAACCTGTTATTCCTGGTGATCTTGTAAGGGGGAAAGGGCGATGTCTGATTTAGTATCTTTAGCTCTTCAAATATTTTAGTTTTTATTTCAGCCATGTAGCTGAACATAAACTTTTTCTTTCTTTCTTTCTTTTCTGTGCATAAGGCACTTCGGTTTAGTTTTTAGGCCGTTTGAAGCCAAAAAATTTTATTGGAAAAACGTTATGACAAATAATTACTGGCACGGATTAATATGTTAAAAGTGAAACTTCTTTTTATAAAAAATATTATTAATGTGTTTTTATTATAATTATTAATAATCTTTTTATTTGTTAATGTTACTGATATTTATTAGCACGATTTAAACATTATTATAAAGTTTATTTGGTACCAGAATTTGCTTGGAACTTCTAAACTGACTTCTAACAAAAAAAATATGGCTCTTCTTATGGAAAAAAAAATGAAAAAATCATCAAAATTCAGTGTTTTGAAAAAAACTACAAAAATACGATAATTTTTCAAACGTTGTCAGTGATATTGTTGTGGTACTTTAAAAAATTATTATTATTATTTTAAAAATTATTATCGAAGGTTTTTATTTTTAAATTATTATTATATTTCAAAAAATAGTTATTAAAAAGTATTGAAATTTTGTAATTTTTGTTATTTTATTGATACCTATACTAAAAATTGACATTTGGAATTTTTTTCAATCTTATAATTCTGTAATTTCTTTAAAAAAACACCGAATCTTATATATAAAAAAATATTAGAAAAATGTAATTTTTCTTTGGCAATGCGTTTTTGGGAACGGTAATGATTTTTAATGCTGGGAAGTTACACTTTTAGAGCATGTTTATTACATTTTAAAAAAAATTAACAAAAAAGTGTATTTTTTAGTTTTAAAAAGAGAAAACTCTTTAAAAATGTAAATAAATATGCTGTTAGTTATATATATATATATATATATATATATATATATATATATTAAGTATTTAAAATATAAAAATATGTGCAATTATATATGATGTTAAATTTTAATTGTTGACCTCAATTATAACATCATCCTTCCTTTTGGTTCGAAGCTTCCTCAACTTATTAATTAATATATTAATTTTAAAATAAGTTTGTAGTTTAGTTTATATTAGTTATCATATGTTTTGCTTTGAGTTGTAGATAAAACAAAAGCTTTAATATTATTGTAGTTATATATTGTAAATTATATTGAAGTTATTTTTAGTCACAATTATATACAAGTCTATAATAAATTATAATATTTTTATCATTTTGAAATTATATTATAAAATACATTTTCTTAAAAAAAACGCAGCACAAGCTGGAGAAAGCAGTAACTAAAAGTACAAAAAAACAAACAGAACAAGTTGGCCTGCTATTTGCTATCAAAGCACAAGAGGGTTTTGCATAAACTTTTTTAAAAGTGATTAATAAACTTAAAAATTTTGTTTATGGAAAAAAATGGTGTAATTAGAAAAAAATAGTCTTAAAAAACCATCTAAAAGCCGATAATTAAATGGGTGGCGACGTAGATAATTTGCTTTGGGCTTAAAGCACATCCAAGTTCTTGATGAACTTAATTTAAACTTGGTTATTGTTTTTTGTACAGCCCATTCTTTTTAGTTGTATTGGCTCTTTTTTTTTTTTTTGAAATTTAATTTTTAAAAATATATTTGACATATTTCAAAATTAAATTCTGCAAGTTATTCATATATGATAATTTTAAATTTAATTTATAAAATATGCTAAATGTATTTCTTAAAATTGAAATTTACAAGTGAAGACAAATGAATTGTACGAATAAAAATATGTAACTAGTAACTCTCTTTAAGCTTTAGTGTGTTTTTACGTTAGCCGTAAAAAAATATTTTCATAATTAATAAGTGTTCGAAAAATTTTACACTATTTGCTTATATTAATAATGAATTATATAAATATTTGTATGTTTAAAATATTATGTGAAAATTATTTTTAAGTTGTTTTGTTTATCGTCTATAAAATCACTTTTATTTTTATTTTTTATGATTTACATGAGATGAATAGACCTCAAATAAAGTGAACTAATGAATTTACGGTATTAGAATAAAAATTACATTAATTTTTATTAACAAAATATTATTCGTTCACCTAAAATGTGATTATTTATCTCATAATATAGCTTAGACAAATCTTTAACATAGACATATGGGATTATTCTGATTATTTCATCAAATACACTCAATTTTATGCTTTATTATTTTTTTAATCTTAAGTATGATATTTACTAAACTCTCTATTTTGCTTTTCTTGCGGTCCATTTGATCTATTATTTTGGTTTTAAGCATAGATAAGTATTAAACTAAATAAATATGCTTATTTAAATTATTTTTAATATATAAACACATTAAGTATTAATTATATTTAACAATTCAAAATTAATTTACCTTTATACATAATGTATGAGTCTTACTATTTAAATTAGAGTATTTTTACGAGTTATGTTAAAAGAAACTGTTTTAATTTTTTTTATTACATCGGATGCCTTTTTTCTGCATTAATTATGTAATCTTTTAATTTTAATTTATACTTTTCAATTTATTTTTAATTTTTTATCTTATTTAATATAATAAAATATTTGTCATCAATAATTAAAATATTCATTATTTTAAACTTTAAATTTAAAATTAATCAGATAATAATTTTTCAATTTTAATTTTAAATTTTTTTTATTTAATAGTACACCTATAGTGAACAAATATTCTTTAATTTCATTAACTTTAAGCGAGCAAATTTTTTATCTATTATTTCTTTAATATAATAATTTTTCATTTCAAAATTATTTAATTTAGTGTATATATTTTTAAAAATTGAATATAACTTGGAATATAGTTTCTCCAATTATTAAAAAATATACTTCTATTTTTGTTATTTAAAAAGCGCACGATTACTCAAATACCCTCGTCTAATAAAAATATTACATCGTCGATGTTGGATCCAAATCCTCTTTCCTAGTTCGGAATAGAATCTGTGCAGAGGCACCGACGGGGACATTCTGAAACGGCAGCGTTTTCTCCTCTCCTTTCCGTGCTCGCCGGCGTGAGATCCATTCTGTCACCGGCGATCTCACCACCACCGGCGGTTTCCGCGTTCAAATCGATTTTGCGTCGTTTATTTGCTAAATCATCTTCCTCATTCGTTCTGTAGCACAGGTTCCGCACACTAAGGTACACTCAATTGTGGAAGCTTCAGGCTTGGATATTTATCCTAATTCAATGACGTTACTGGATTCGTTTTGAATTCGAATTCCATTCCATTTATCACAACATTTTGAGGAAGAGAATCAAATGACACTAAAACTAAGCTCTGTTTTGGCTTCTTTCTAGCTGATTATGTAACCTGTTTGTATCTTATCGTGAAAAATCATGAGTTTGGTTCAATTTTATGCATTTTTATGTGTGGAGCATTTCGAAGTTGAAGTGAAAGTTATTGAAAAATTTTTATGTTCGATTTTCCGTTGGAGTGGTTTTTGATCGAAAGTATTAAAATATTTTTGATGTTATCACTTTTAACATTTTCATTTGAAGTTAATATTCTTAGAAGCTTTGTTATGAATGGATGGCCGTTTGAAAATTGCTATCTATATCTCATGTTACATAGTCGGTTCATGGCTATTGGCTGTCATTTGACTCATTTCAGCTTATGCTGGTAAGATTTGTGTTGCTAGAAGTCAATGGCATCAGGTGAAGGTGATACAAGTGAAATGATGGAAACTCATGCAGAAGATTCTTCTATACCCGAGGAACAGTTGCCTGATGTGAGTCATCATTACAAAGATGAAAACAATGGAAATATTATATTGGAAAACGGTTTGTCTGATGGCAATCAAGGTCCAGATGACGCTCACGATCAGCTTCTACAAATGGTTGTGGACCTCAGATTTCAGAATGAATTCTTGAAGTCACAATTTGAGGGATTTAGCAATATAAACACTGTACATAGTGACTCTAATATGCAGAAAGGAGTTGGTAACCTGGAAGATCGGGAATCTGACATTGTGAAAGAGCCACAGGAAAGGATACAATCGTTAAATAAAGAATTTCTGGAAGAAAAACAAACAAGAATTGCATCTGAAGAGGCTTTGAAGCACCTTCAAATAGCATATTCAGAGGCTGAAGCCAAGGCCCAAGAGCTCTCTGAAAAGCTTGCAGAAGGTCTGATTGTGTTACATGTATGAAACAGTGAACGTCACAAATCATTCATTAGGCTTTATCTTAGAATGAATACACTGTATTGCTTTTTGGTGTAGCTCAAACGAAGTTGGACCAAGAAATTAAAGAGCGTGAAGAGAAGTACTCTGAACTTGACTCAAAGTTTAATAGGCTTCACAAACGAGCAAAACAGCGCATTCAAGAAATTCAAAAGGTGACTATTGCTATATTCTTTTCTGGCTTGTTAATGTTTTTATGCTGATATTGTTGATAGGTTATTGGGCCTAATTTGGTATAAGAAACGGACTGACAAGAGGTTAAACTGTATATAACAAATGGGAGGAAAAGACTTGGTTATAGGAGAGAGAAAATAGACCTCGGAATTTGTTATATAGGGAGGTTTTAGGAAGAATTGGGGTAGTCAGATTTTAAATCAATTTTCAGATGTATAACTTGGGGCCGTAGGAGCTCTGCTTGTCTGGGGGCATTTGCTCTTCTTCTTTCCTGTAATTCCTATACTATTCTCATTAATAATACACTCTCTCCTTTGTTAGAAAGATAGTTCTTGTCTGTTGTCTATATTTCCTTGAAGTGATCCTACTTATTCAATCTTTTATCACAACCTGTGCTCAAACTGCTGATCAAGTGCTCCCACTTAGACTACTACCCCACCCCCACAAAAAAAAAAAAAGTTGTATGTTGTCTGTCTTTTAATGATCAACCCTGGACTCCAGAATTTCTATATAATCACAAAAGGTTCTTATTTAGTGCTTCAACACAACCTCTTGAAGCAACTTACTCTTTAAAGGACTTCACTGGATTATTTTATACATGTTTGAGTTCAATTTATTGTTTGGGAAATTTCATTTGCAGGAAAAAGATGATATTGAGGCCCGCTTATCTGAGGTGAATGAAACTGCAGAGAGAGCATCATCCCAACAGTCAGCATTGCAACAAGAGTTAGAGCGCACTAGGAAGCAAGCAAATGAGGCATTGAAAGCCATGGATGGTGATAGGCAACAATTAAGAAGTGCAAACAACAAGTAAGGATACTAATCTGCTTTTCATCGAGTACATCCATTAGTTAGAAACTTGTGTAGCTTTAGGTGTGTGTCAGGAGAAGCTATGTTCTCATTTATAGTAAATTGTACGACTGATATGCATAATAAAATTAGTTGTGCTTATAATGGGAAATCACCCAAACCTTATTTATTTTATGGGTATTTGTGCTGCAAGAATCAAATTGATTATGTAATGTGTAGAAACTTACAGTGACGCACACGTACATGCACAAACTGGGGGAATTTTTTTGTCTTCTCTTGGGTTGGGATCAGCATGTCTTATTGATTAGTTATTCCCTTGGAATGTTTGTTATAAATATACTTGTGAAAGAAATTTCATTTTCTCCCATTTTCAGTGAAAGTTAAATGCTTTGTTCCAAATGTGGCATATTAACCCCTGATCTTAATTGATTAGGCCATGTAGGAATCATTAGACAGCAACCTTGTGTTGAATTGATCATAAATTATTTCCAAGAAGATTTCTTTCAAGATTTGTCTATACTATAATTGAATGTTTCTGATGGGCCTACACTAATTCTAAATTTAAATAAAAGGGAGAATTAAGAGTATCGTATCCCATTTCTAATTATAAGCAACAATAACAACCAAATATCCCATTAGGTGTGTCCCATTTCTAATTATTAATTTAAAAATCTCTATTTCGCAGACTTCGAGATACCATTGAGGATTTAAGGCGGTCATTGGAACCAAAAGAGATTGCTCTTGAGGCATTGCAACAGTCACTTGCAGAAAAGGAACAGGTACAGACAATCTTTTTATGTTATTTTGGAAGTGTTTATTTGATTTGGATCTCCTGTTGTTTATAGTGCTTATTGATATTCTTACTGAATACCAATGACTGATTATGACTTTGTCTCTTGTGGATGTTTGCATATATAACTTAACTCTGTGCACTATTATGTTGAAAGGGGTGTACATAGAGAAGAGAATAAGATAGTGAGGGAGAATATTTTTAATTCATTTTTGCATACCTCGATACATATTATAAGAGTGCCTTATATGCACTATAATAGGGAAAGTAATAACGTAAAAGAAGATTCTGGATCATTAAACTTCATGCAAAATAATAGAATTGGTTCCTATTGTCAGAGGTGGCCCTACATGTAGCTAATAGCAAATGTAATCCTTCAAATGGATAAGAACTTGAATCTTTCTTCTAGATTTCTCTTCACTGATGTCAGCTATTGTGCTTGGGCCAGAACTAATGGGCCTTTGAGTACCTTCTTCTGAGGTAGTGAGTGTGGTACTAGGGATGGTTATACTATCATATGTCTATAAACTAAATGGTTGATGCTTGCATTTGATTAATTTACCAAATTAGATATTATACCCAACTTGTTTCTTAACCACATGTTTGCATTTAGGCCAAAATATATTAATATTTGATCTTTTTGTTGGATCACATGTCTGCCTCCCTTCCTTTAAATGGTATTCTTTCTGAATCCATTGGGATCCTCTTATGTGACTAGATAACATGTTAGGAATTGAATTTCTGTTGTCAAACTTTAAGTGCTTGCTTTATGTTCTTTATGCTCTGGAAACAATTTTTATGATGAGATATTAGATATTTTCACTGATTTTTTTGTAATATTTTAAATGCCTATTGTTTTAACTTTTTTTAGCAGTCATAATTGTGTCATGAACCTTGTGGATTTCTACTATTTTGGTAGCACAACCTTTAAAATCAGTTATATATAACTATGTTCCTTGGATATCCCAAAATAAAATTGACAACTCAGATGTTGGAAGATATGAGAGGTTTGCTTCAGGCTGCTGACGAAAAAAGGCAAGCTGCACTAGCTGAGCTCTCAGCTAAACATCAAAAGGTACACATGAATCTTTTAGCATTTTTGGCTGACTGTTTTCACAGTTAATCTTTTGGGAGGACACCATATTCTTGCATCTTATTTCATCCCTCATCAAATTTCTTCTTTTACTGAATAAAAGGTTATATTTTGTAATCTGTATTGTGTATTTAGCATCTAGTTGTGTTTTGGCTTCAACTCAATGTTTGTTCCTGCAGAATATAGAGAGTTTGGAGGCTCAACTTAATGATGCATTGTCCGATAGAAGTAAGGCAGCTGAATCCATTTCTTCATTGCAGGTGAGTGAGTTTAATGATTATGAACTTTTTTCATACATTCCCCTTGTTTGGCAGGGAGGTGTTTGAAGGGGCATTGATAACCAGGTCTTAATGATTATTCAAATATAGCTGTCTTTTTTATTTTATGGTTAGCTTTTTTAGTGAGTAGCTCTACTTTTAAATAAAGGTCTGTAAGGGCTAGCTAACCAGACTATTTGTGGGTGGATTTGGGTTCAGAAACTACCATCCAATTTAATTTAATAGGGTTCAGGCTTTACTTTCAAACTGTTACTAGGCCTTGAATTGGTCTGAATAGAGAGACACTTGAGGATGAGCTGAATCAGCTGATAGGTTTCTTATTCTTTACATTCCATATAAGTTTCTTTGTGTGTGTAGCATTTATTTTGTCTTGCATATTTAACTTACATTTAAATTCTCTCTGAATATTAAGTTTATCTTCAATGGACTCGTTTTATAGTGAATAATTAAATGAATTGTGATTGAAGAATGAAAATTCTTTTCATCATTAGTTAACTGGTGTCAATCATTTCATATATAAATAAACGTGCTCCTGGACATGTCAGAAGTTTCCAGCTGATGACCTGACCATGCTTAATCCACTAATATGACTCCAGGTTCTAGTTGCAGAAAAAGAATCTAGAATTGCAGAGATGGAAGCAGCATCATCTGGGGAAGCAGCACGACTCAGAGCATCTGTGGAGAGTGTAAAGGGGGAGCTTTCTCACCTAAAACAGGAGCATGTATGGTTCTGTCTTTTAGCATGTATAAATTGGTGTTCGATTGTGTGTTGGATTTCTCTTCTGTTTTCCCCTTCTCCTTAACCAAGAAAGTTTTTTTTGATGTTATGTAATACATGTACGTGCATACTTTTGACATTTAAACCATGCTCAAAATGAGTTCAATGAAGCATAAATCCCATTTTGAAGTTAAAATAAAGTAAAACAAAATAAAAAAGGCCAAAAGTACATAATATGTTGCTTTAGGTGATGAAAATATCTTATTATGTGCAATGTCTTGTTAGGTAACTATAATGTCTGTGTCCCTATAGAAAATTTGAATCTGCTTAATAACTGACAACACAGCTGTATGAGAAGCACTTTTGTCACCTTTTCTATTCACCAATTTTCATGTCTTGGATACATGGAAGAATCTGGAATTGTAATTTATTGATCATAAATGATCATGTTTATGCACTTCTAAATGCTGCATTGACTTATGCATTACATATGCTGGAATTGAAGAATGGTTTCCTTAACTAATTATTTGGGTTCAGATATCCCTTAAAATAATGCTTGTACAAGCAGGAATGAAGTTGCCCATAATGCATTGACTTAACTGAAATGCATGTGATAGATGATTAAATCATTTAATTAAATTTCTCTCTGATTTATCTTGCTCATTGTCTTCAAATTTTCCATATGTTAATTTAGTATAATCATTGTCATCAATGTTCTTTCCCTTTATACATGGAAGAAAATTGTGATTTTAGCCTGTTTCTGTGCCTTTTGCCAGAATTGGTTTATGCATAGGTGATAACAAGTATTTGAAGAGAAATTGAAATGCCTAAAATTTTGGAGGTCTTATTGTCACTGAACCTGTAGCTGGATTAATTTGTTATATGATTTCTTAGTTCGTAAGCTGTGGTGTGTTCAGGAGAAAGAGAGGGAAAGCTGGGAGACTGCATCTCAAGCCCTTAAAGCAAAACTTGAAACTGCAGAGAGCAACTGTATTCGTTCAGAAGTTGAAGTAGCAAAAATAAGAAGTACATATCAATCCTTCTGTAAGCTTTCTCATATTATTTTAATAGGCATATTTATGCTTTTGGCAATGGTCAGGTCAGCTAGAATCAGAGGTATCTGCACAAACAAGGCTCCTTAACATGAGAGATACTGAATTGTTGGCTTCCAAGGAAGAGGTTCTAATTAATTTTCCTTTACTAATTAGCTCGTAGAAAATTAAACAAGGATTAAATTATGTTGATTTATTGCTTGCTCTTTTATCTTAAAAAGCGTAAAAAAAAAATAAAAATAACAGTTCTTGTCTATCTTTGAAGTTGGGTGAGAGTTAGGAAATTCTTCTTTGTCCAGGAAATGTACTTTGATAAAAATATCAATTAATAACCCTTGTTCTTGCTTTGAATTAGTGTATTTTCTTGCTTTTATTAGAAAGTATGCTATTTAATTATGTAATGTCATATGACATTTCTGTTCTGGGAGAGAACCCTGTTTCTAAACTGGATCTGGTATTCTTCTGTATCAGTATCTTGATACAGTTTGAAAGCTTTTTGTTGGCATCTTTTGACAAACATATTATAGGCACTACTAGGTGTCAAGATGGTTATTGCTTCAATGAATCTGATATTTTTATCTCTTCATAATATAAATTTCATAACACTACAGCTTTTAATTGATAAGTGTTTATGGAAATATGCTTGTATTTAATCCACACAGTTGAATGGTTGTTGATTATTACATTTGCAGCAAAACATACTAACTAGGCACATTAATTACAAGTTACAACTTAACATGTGTGTGACATGGGATTTTGTGCCTCTGCAGATCAGCTCTCTTGAGAGGGAATTTTCTTCGTACAAGGTTCGTGCACATGCACTTCTTCAAAAGAAGGATGCTGAACTGGCTGCTGCTAAAGATTCTGAACAACTCAAAGCTCTTGAGGAAACTCTAAAAGTACATTTTATCACAATCTTTTGTGGAAGACTTTGTTTGATTAATGTGTATATATGAATCACCAATTGCATTCTTAATTTTCTTCAGGAGGTTGAAAATGAAGTATTATCTATAACAGAAGAAAGGGATAGAGTTCTTCAAGATCTTCAATCTGCTATGGCTAATCATGAGAAAGAACTAGCAGAAAGGTATCATATGACAATTTTTTATTAGCTTTTTTGCGTAATATGTCACTTTGAATACTACTTAGTTACAAACATATAATTTGAAGCAAAAGATGCATTACAAGTAACTGATGTGAAAAACTTGCTTCATCTCATTTTATGAATTTCAGAGACACAGACCTTGAAAATGTCAAGCAACAACTAAGGAGCTTAGAAATAAAGCTTGACTCAGCTAATGCTCAGCACCTAAAAGAGAAAGAGGATTGGGGACTAAGCCTTAAAAATGTGGAAGAAACATGGAGAAGTAATACACTCTGCTACTTGGTTAAATAGTTGTTTATACCTTATACTTCTTTGATTCTTCTATCTGTATGAATTTGGTATTAGAATGTTAACTTAAATCAACTTTTTCAGTCAGATGTGAGGCAATGAAGGCTGAAAATGAAGCAACTGCTACAAAAGATAGGCAAAAGGAACTGGAAGAACTCAAACAGCGATGTAAAAAATTGAAGGTAATCTGCAAATTGTTGAACCTGTGCTTGGACTCCCTCCCAAATTAGTTTTTTCCTGACCCTTCTTGTGCTAACTGAATCTAAAACTTGTAGGAAGAGCATGCTTCATTTCATGATCTTGCTGATAGGATGATTGAGGAGAAAGATAATGAAATATCCAGACTTCTAGATGAAAATAAGAATCTTCGTCAGTCTCTTCAATCAAGACCTCGAGTATGTTTTTTTATCTGCCTTTTCAATATCATGAGAATAAGGAATGGACCCTATACTTATCATTTACATGGTCTGGCATATTCATTATGCTGGTTTCACAATTCTTTCATATGATTTCAGGTCGATCAAAATGATAATCATACAACAGGTATTGATTTATTTATAGTATGAAAGTAGCTGTTCCACAAGTCAAGCATTTAGGGATGATGAGTGACGTTCTTTCTTCAACTGTTATGTACAGCCTTGCATAAATTGGATTCAACAAATTTAAGTCCCTCAGCTGCAGAACAGCAAATTCTGGTAAAGCATTTACTTTTCCCAATTTATAGTTTAACTCATTTATCTTTGTAACATATTGTAGAGAATATTTCCTTCTATTTAGAAAGTTGTGTATAGCAATTTGGTCAGGTTTATGGGAGAAAAAGCAACTGTTTTAGTTGCTTCATTGACATGACCCTGAAACCCTCTTTCTCTCTTTTTTATTTTTTTGGAAGGGGGTTAGTGGTTATGGAAGTGGAAGAAAGATTTTTTCATTCAAAATTTAGGACTATTTTTTCAGACTCTTGCATCCATTTGTATATTTTGAGATTCTATCATTTCATCTTTTTCTTTTTTATATTTGTCGTACTTTCAGCTTTTGGCTAGACAACAAGCCCAAAGAGAGGAAGAGCTAGCACAGTCACAGCGCCATATTTTAGCTCTTCAGGTATGTCTTGATCTCTTTAGAATGTTTATCTTTTATCCCCCATTGGTTTGCCTCCCTTTCTTCTGTAATACTATATAATCTATGTTGGTAATTTAGGAAGAAATTGAGGAGCTTGAACGTGAGAATCGTCTCCACAGCCAACAGGTATGTGTGCCAGAATTTTGTAATTGTATTTCCAGATGTATTTGTAAAGTGATTAATGACAAAGTAAAATGCTGATACCATTTAGAGTGGAAGGGTCAGGATGAATAACATAAAATTGATAGGTGGAATGAATTGATGTTTGTTATTATGTTCTATTTACACTGACAATTATTCAATGGCTTCATTTCACCTGAGTCGTACAGTGATGAATTGGCTACATCAATTTTAGAATTGTGACTATTGAAAAATAAATGAAGAAATGAGCATTCTTTAGAAGTATTTTATTTTAATTATATGTTTCAGTTTTTGGCAAACTATGCTTATGGGTTTTTAAATATTCTGACTGCAGGAGACAATGTTAAAGGCTGAGCTTCGCAACATGGAAAGATCAAAGAAAAGGGAAGGTGTAGATATGACATATTTGAAAAATGTTATCTTAAAGCTGCTTGAGACTGGTATGAATTTTGAAAACAAAGTGAAGAGGTCCTTTTTTATCTCAACATTTTTAACTAGTATTGAGAAACTAGATAATGTAAATGTTCCCTTTAACCAGGTGAAGTTGAGGTATTACTACCAGTTATTGGAATGCTGCTTCAGTTTAGTCCAGAAGAGGTAATCTTGTCATCTACTTTGCATGCCCAAGAGTATTATTTATGAGGGAAGTAATGAACTTCTGCAAAGTAAAGAGGTGCACTCTATGCAATGCTATTACATCTCAAAAGTTAAATTAAGGCTTTTTATTAGAAATGAAATTACTTTGATGTATTTTTGACATTCAAATTTTTTTGGCTAAAACTGTGAATATGGTCCAGTGAGACATAAGAATTTCAAATATATGTTCAAGCATTCAATTGAATGGTCACTAAATGCTCAAAACAGTATGTTTCAGCTAAATCTGTTTTCCAGCCATATAATTCTTGTCTTCCCATAATTTTCCTGATATAATAATTTAAAATGCTGTCTTTTAGAAAAGTCAAAAGTGTCTTAATTGTTTTTTATGTTTCAGCAAATTATTTTAATGGCTAATAGAATGTATGTACGTTATTTTAAAACCAAAAGTAATGAAAAGGAAACAATTCTCTGCAATTTAATTGTGTGCAGATGCAGAAGTGTCAACAGGCATATCACAACTCAACAGATGTGCCGCCAAGTCCTGCAAGTGATGCTTCAGGATCTGGCCTCTCTCTTTTCTCAAGATTCTCATTTACTTAATGGCATAAATGGGAGTGCTGGAGAATTGTTTTATTGTTTGTTAGAATGTCTGCTCTGCCATCCAGCTGCAGCAGTATGTTTGTTTACTCGCTGTTGCTGAGAAAGCAGGTTTGTTTATGTAATTAGGGGGAAAAATTGTTGGCTACAACATCAATTGTCCCCTGCAAGTGTTTGGAAGCTGACAAGCTGTAAAGAAGCATCAAGGGTAATACAACAAATATCACAACAGGGAAGGAGAACTCACGGGATGTTCTACTTGTTATTTGGCTGAGGAAGCAACAATATAATTCATTTTTTTAACATAGAATATGTTGAGTCAAAAAGCATTGCTAAAAAACTGTATCATACCCTTATATACAAATTTTCAAATTGACAATGCCAAAGGAATGTGTTCTCTTTCTGAGTTCAGGCTTGCAAATAATGATAAGGCATGCTTCACAAAGATTTGCTTTTCGTTGGTGAATCAGAAATTTTGTGTATTATATTATGATTGGGTGGAGCTGTATGGTTATTATAGGCCAGTTCGGGGCGTGCTGAGTTGCTCAATCTGGTCATGTTAACGGCTTACCGGAGGTCCGGTAAGATTGATTCGGCAGGCTCTCGAACAACTTCTTAGTAAATTACTGTTGCTTGATATTGTAAGCACTCCGTTTTCTTGTGGAAAGATTGTTAGGTGTAAGTCAAATTTCAGATTTTACTTGTGTGTTCGTAGACATGTGAAATTATAAGAAAATGAAGTTCTATAAAGTATATAAGTCAATTTGATTGAGGTACCCCCAGACCCCACCCCCAAATACGAAGCAATTGGGTATCCTGAGACCAAGTGCGTTTTCACTCGGTAAACTAAGATTCTAAACCTCGTCTATTATCTCTCTTTGCTTGTTACAATCCTGCCATAAAGTCCATTATCCTTTTTTTTTTTTTTTGTTAAATCAAAATTATCAAATAATCACGCACATGTCCGAAGGGCAAAGAAACTTTGTTTTCTTCCTTCAACAAGAAAAAGTTTTAACTCACCTCTATTTCCGTTCTTCCCTTGAATTTTTCATTTTCTTTTGGTGATTAGGAAAGAAGGAAAAAAAGAAAAAACAAAACTACATCAGACTGGGGATAGTTACCAAAGTAGTGGGCTAGCAGAAAGTGTTGTAGCCTCTAATTTTCTTATTTATACAATAAATGAAATAGATATTTGCCATGGGGCATAAAAATTATCAAATTCTTACTTATGTAGAATTTTAAATTCATTGTATCACCTCCTAGTTAGTGGGGCTCGTCTCTCGTTAGTCATTTTAATTACAAGTTTGAGCTTTCATTCTATTACTTCCTTTGCTTGATCCTAGATGCTGAATTGCTGATCGCTTGTTTGCATGGTATGGCAGCAACGAGACAATAGAAAGAGCCGAAAAGTTGGGAATCACTAGAATAAGAAAGGATAGTATTTGTGTATAACGTGGAAACAAGAGAGGTAGAAAGAAAAAAAAATAAAAATGTGATTAATAACGTAATATGATAAGAAATAAAACAGAATAGCGAAAAAAAAACACAAAATATAAGGTAGAAAAATGATATAATTTTTGTGTGTGTGTGAATATAATTGCTGAATAAAAAATAAACAATGAATTTAAAAATTATTACAAGACAGAAACTCTTACACGTGTAACACGATTGAAAACTCTGATTGATTCAATGCACAAATTACCCGTTATTATAAATAAATACATACATACAAGAACTTCTCCATCCCTTAAACGTTGTAGTGCAAATCAAGGGATTTGTAGTTTGTGCATAATATAACACAGTGGTTCTACGTTTCCATCCTCATTTAATTTATTGAGCATATACTTCATGTTACATCCAGGAAAATATCACATGGGACTCAACCCATACAAACTTGTAGAGGATACATCAATAAATCGAACTATATTACTAAACTTGTAGTCGACAACGGTAAAGTGCAATGAAAACACTGCTTGCCGACCCAAATTTGAATATCAAAACATGGCACTATAAAGTGACAAAAGAGACAGCTAACTAAATAAAGAAAGCAAAAACTGACAAAAGACATTTTTGAATTATAGTGACCCTTTATGGATGGCAAAGAAATGCTCACATAAAAAAGCTAATGTACCCAAGTAGTGTGCTCTCTAATGACACATCAAAACAACACACCCCAACTTGGGATCAATAGATTTATGCAAGTATTTCAGCTTCCTCCTCTAAGCATGCCTGGCTTGGAAATCCTTCATGAAAGCCACCAACTTCTCAACCCCAGCCAAAGGCATAGCATTGTAAATGGATGCTCTCATTCCTCCCACTGACCTATGTCCTTTGAGCTGAACCATCTTTTCCTTAGCAGCCTCCTTGATAAACTCACTCTCCAACTCAGATTTCTCCAAAGTAAAAGGCACATTCATCAAAGACCTCACTGACCTCTCAACCGGGCACCTATAAAACCCATTGCTCCCATCAATGACATTATAGAGAATCTCAGCTTTCTTCTTGTTATTCTTTTCAACCTCCTTCAAACCCCCTTGTTCCAACAAGTCCTCAAACACCAAACCACACATGTAAATACCATAACAAGGAGGGGTATTGTAAAGTGAACTGTTCTCATGATGGATCTTATAATCAAACATCACAGGAGTCACAGCTTGAGCATTCCCAATCAAGTCCTTCCTGATGATCACAATGGTGACACCAGAGGGCCCCACATTCTTCTGGGCCCCAGCATAAATAACCCCAAATTTGGACACATCAACAGGCTTGGAACAAAAATTAGAAGACATATCAGCCACCAAAATCCCATTTTTATTCTTGGGAGTAGGGTAATCCTTAAACTCAACCCCATGAATAGTCTCATTGGCACAAATATGCAAATACCCAGAATCAGGGTTCTGCTCCAAATCATCAAAAGACGGAATATTTGTGTACTTCTCAGGTTTCCCAGACCAGATCACCTTGGGTTTACAGTACTTCTGTGCCTCCTTGAAGGCCTTGTCACTCCATGAACCAGTCACAACATAATCAACGGCGTCGTTTGGGGTGCAGAGGTTCAACGGCACGGCGGCAAACTGGGAGGTGGCGCCACCCTGGAGAAAGAGAACGGAATATTCCGACGGGATCTGCAAGAGAGTGCGTAGATCCGCTTCCGCTTTTTGGATTATGGAGAGAAATTCTTTTCCTCTGTGACTCATCTCCATGACGCTCATGCCGGATCCGCGCCAGATGTAAAGTTCCGATTGTGCCCGGAGAAGCACCTTTTCCGGCAAGGTGGCCGGACCGGCGGCGAAGTTAAAGACCCGATCTTGGCCTTGGGTGAGAGGTGGAGATTGGGTCTGGACTTGGGTGGCGCATTTGATGGATGTGGGTTTGAAGGAGATGCGTTTGGGGGTGAAGATGGGAAAAGGGTTGTTGTTGTTACGGTGATTGTTGATGTTGGTGGGGTTGTGGAGGAGGTGAGTGTGAGGTGAAGTTGCCATCGGCATGGTGATGCTTACCGAGTTTTTGTTTTGTTTCAGAGGAGAGAGAGTGAGAGAGAGTTTGTTTGTGCAGAGTTTGGTGTGTTCTTTTAATGTCTATGGAGTCGGAAATGTTTATGGCAAAGATCTGAATCTCAAGTGGGGAAAATTTATACTGAGATGGGATGTTGGTGGGTTCAATTACCTACCCAATAGTGAGTTTTATTCGGGGGTAAATTATGATTTAATGTTTTAAATTACAAGCATCAGTTATTTCAATATTTGATTTTAGAATTTTTTTTTCCCTTAAATTTGATAAAATATTATTTATTTTTTATATAAAATGATAAAGAAAATAAATAAAGACTCAATTGAGTTATTGTTAAAATGTTTAAGTTAAAATAAGTTTTTTTTTTGCAAAATTATAAATTAAAGTGATTAATGTTTATAATTTAAGAAACTAAAATAGATATTAATTTATTTAATGTGTTACAAATCTTTCTTGAATTTTTTATGAAACTTATTCAATTAATTGAAATTTTTAATTAATATATTTTTAGCACCCCCAGTAATTTTCTGTAATTACATTTTTTTAGTATCAGTGGATAACCTTGTAACTCTTAGTATATTGTAAATTCTTTTACTGAGTACACAAACATAATTGGTATCTAGTTGTCCTAGAAATGGTTACCTTAACCCTGTAGGGTAAGTACTGAGGGGTCTTTCAATATATTTTGGTCATAAAAAATGGTGAAAGTGGTATCTAGCACTCTAGCAGGTGCAATTTGTGAAATCTGTGGTTGGTGGAACAAAATTGGTGTGTCTTTTGTAATTGGAAAGAAGGAAAAAGGGAGTGAGATATTTGTTTTTTGGTTTATAATTATAATATACTTTGGACTTTGGACTCCCAATTCTGAATTTGCCCTTTTTAAAAGCTGGCGGCGCTCCTTGTTATTGCAAATGACAGAGGGCTTTGTTGGCGGGTCACACCACCCAAACATCTCACTCAAAGCCTTGTTTTTTCTCTCTCTTAGATTTAAAAATGCAAAAAATTCTAATATTTTAATCATATAGTATTAAATTTATATTTTCTTTTTCTGATTGATATTCACATGAATGAATTTTCTAAGAATCATAAATTTATATTAATTAATTTTTTTTAATATATATTAATGACTCAGACTCAGAAATATTTAATATTATACAAAAAGTATAAATATATAATAATTTATACTGTTATTTAATAATAAATTTTCATATTAACAATTTTTAATATATAATTTAGGTACCCATTGACAAGATTAATAAAATAATGCTTAATTAAGTTAATTTTTTATAAAATAATGTTTTTCTACCGTGCAGTGAGAGTATACAAATTGAAATTTGGAACCTTTTATGCTGAAAATTAGAATGAATATACAAAATAAAATAGATATTCACTGAATTTGAAAATAGTATTTTTTTATTTTTTATTTTTTGTTATTAGCATCATATCCTTATTTTACTGCTCTAAAATTTATTTTTTAAAAGTAAAAGAGAGGGTAACTGTTGGAGAATGCTTGATTGTTGGGCTGGTGGAACCCAATAAACACAAGAGTCAGAGAACTAAATGAATGAGACATTTAAAGAAAGCATTTATTTTTGGGCCAATTTGCACAAAGCACGGTGATGAACGATGTGCTGCATTGTCCAGCGTGGAATTAACATGGACCTCCTATTTTATAAAATATTTTAAGCTAGGGGTGAAATATTTAGTTATTTAAACAATTAAAGAATAATTTTAAGTGTTATATAAAAGTTAAAACATTAGATTTCTTTATTTTAAAAACTTATAAAAGTTAAAATTTTAAGTAAAAAATAAAATTTATAAGTTTTAGATAAAAAAAAAAAGAAAGATATCAACAAAACATTTAAATTTCTAAATTTTGAAATTTTGAAAAAACTTAATTAACTAAAAAAATTAAAGTTTTTTGTTTTGGATTAAATTAATATTTTAATTGGTTAATTTTCAGTAAAGAATAAGAATAGCAATTTTAAAATTATAAGTAATATTATTTAAAGTACTTAATATCTCAAATTGAAAGAATAAAATCATATATCTAAAAAAAAGCAATATTATTTAAAGGATTAATTAAAAATATTTTTTTATTTAGCTTAATTTTCAACATCCATTATATATATATATATTTCACTTGTTCAGAAATTAATATGAATTCTTTAAAAAATATTTTATAAAAAGATGTGCAATAAAAAATAGGAAAATTAAAAAGAAAGATAAGATATATTTCACCTGTAGTAAAAAAATCATATTTTGTTAGCAGAATATGTGGCAGAAAGAAAAAAAATAAAAAAATAAAAAACAATCAAATACTTCATCATGAATGAATGGAATTGTTTCTATGCCATCGTTTCCATTATTTTGTTCAATGGGAACATGAGAAATACAGACTCAAATTGGACAACAAAGTATGATGTTCACTTAGAACAAAACAGAAATTTTCGGGTAGAAAAACAACAGAAATACGTAAAACAACACATCAGAGGATTTAACAGTGCAACCCAAAAGTTGCTGAAGTTGACCCCAACCCAATTATGAAAGTCAAATAATGTTTGATGTTAGTGGCTATACATAGCACCTACAATGGGTTCTCCAGAAGAAAACTTGCTGGTTCACATCTTGCAGTGTAGCTAAATTTTGATGAGCAATACTTCCTATGTACCCCTGTAAGTTTCCCTGTCCCAGCTCTCTTGTGAAAATCAACCATTAAACTTGAGCACTCTCTGCATGTCACAAATATTCAATCACACATTAGTATTTTACTATTTACCATGTCATGATAGATAATAATCAATGCATATAGCGTTGCTTACAATAGCTGATCTTCTGAGTAGTTGGTGTGCCATTCACATGTCTTACTCCATTGTTTGAAACCATAAATAGTGCATTGAGCTGTGTAGACAGCAGCTGCTGCTAGCATTGATGGAGGAAACTTCAACATCTCATATTCTACTAGAGATAGCTCTACCAAGAAGAAAGCAAGTAGCTCAAGCTGTTTCATCAAGAGTAAAATGGTGAAGTTAGTATTCATGACATTGATGGTTATGATTTAAAAAATAATTTTTTTAACGTGCATCCAATGACAAATCATAAAAAAAATTAAAAATAATATATTTTCATTGAAACATAGCATTATACTTTTTATGATATTTTATTAAAATTTTTATAATTTATTCAAAATTGTGCATGATAAGAAATTATATATAGTAAATTATAAAATTATAAAATATATTTCATATTAAATATTATATTTTTTTAAAAGAATATTTGATAGAAATATGTGGACTCACTTTTCTGTCTGCTTGAGCTGCCTTTAGGAACCTTTTTATAAAAACATATGCTGTTGGCACAGACATGTTAAACTGCAATGTATTGACCATCAACTTCTCCTGCATTTATTTTACAGTGAATCTCAGTTATTTGTCATGTAGAGTGGCTTCACGAATGTGGATGTTAAAGGTGTCAAATAGGGAAAAACAAATGCTACCATTTCCAGAACTTCCTTCCTTGTGTATGCTTTGTCTGATATAAGGATTAGATCCCCCACCACAGGCACTGAAACTTCCTCATATTTGCATGCTAAAAGCATGGCAACTAGGCCAACCAACTGAAGCTTCTTTCTTACCACACTCTGCTTTGCCAAAAATCTATCTATTAGATTTACTGTAAGAAACAACGTCTCGTGCATGAGGTCAAATTTGTCGTGCACCTGAAGGTTCAGAACAAGAATATCAACATTTGGGAAGCTATTTAGATTGATTGAAAATAAAATCACTGATTATGTTTGATCCATAAGGTTCAACAAGAATATCAATATTTGGCATAGCGTGATTCAGGAGGTAACTTTTATAACATACCTCAATAAGCCAGTCAATCAGTATAGCCCTCATTCTTTCATTGATGTCAAATTGTTGTACCATATAATTCGGTGAGACACAGCTAGTACTCTGCATGCAGCAAAAGCACACTTAGGTATAAAGAAGATTTGATAGGTAGACATTCCAACATTAGTTGGCATTCTTAAATCAATTTAGATTTCCAAAATTTAAAGGGAAGTTTTAATTATTTTTATGCTAATTCAATGCAGTGAGAATATTGTCTCTTAGATCCAACTCAAAAGTGTTGGGATCTTCTTTGCTCATTCAAACACTACTGAATGCCTACATGAGAATATAGACTCTTGCTTTAGTAGGAAAAATTCAAGCTTTGGGACACGAGAAGGGCATGGATCTAATAAAAATTAGGACATAGTAGGTTGAACTTCAGAGGCAGTGCTCTCAAAGTGAATTGTATAACTAAAATTCAGTCATTATCCATTTAAAGTTATTAAAAGGAGTTCAAATTGTCAGAAAAGTGTTCCAAATCCAAACTATTCATTCATTCCAAATGTACCTCCATTTTTCTGTAGTAGGAATAAAGATCTTCAATATAGTCCACTACTGCGAAAGGATTGTTTGCATCACAGATATCAATGTCCAAAACAGACTCTTCAATTATATCCTCCATCTCAACCTCCTCCTAACAAACCAATTATTGCACCATCACCAACTAAATTTTGAAATGGATTCGAGGGACAGAAACAAATAAATAAAAGACATATCAAAGAAATACCATCTGATCTGATTCATTATGCATTGGTTCTGTTTGCTCTAAAGCCATAGGCACTGGCTGGTCTTCAGTTGGCTTGTGTTCATCATCGATAAATATACACTCCCCAAATCCATTCGAATTTGAATTTGACATGTTTGACCTCTTGCTTTCCTGTTCACATTGACACCCCACAACTAAAGAATTTCAGTTTCAACTTTCAAATAGTCAAAGATATGTGCAAAGCATCCGATTTCACCACAAGAATAAAACACTCTACCTCAGCACGACATTGCTGTGTGCTGGCAATTTGTGCAGCAAACCTCCTAAAACAACAGTAAAATCAAAGATGAATCCGCCACATTGGAACTTGTAAGGAAATAAACATAAGATTTCATTACCAAGAACAACGGGTCAATTTGCACTGAAACTCATTTCAATTTCAAAATTTAAATACCATTTTTTTCAATCCACCAAACAAAACTTCAAATCACACAAAAGGGTCACATCCTCTAACCTTGTGATGGGTCGATGCACCGGATCCGCCTGCTTCTTTTCACAAACTTCATGTTTTCTGTGTGCCCCACAAAACAAAAACCGATCCATCAACATTAAAAACTAAAAAAGACAGAAAAATTACAAGAAAAATTTGAAGAGCAAGTCTTAAAGAAATTACTCTGACAAAGTTCTCTTGTTAACAACGCAAGGGTAAGGTCGACCTTCCACCACCAGATTCTGATTGATAATGCTCAAAGCCCTTCTGTTCTGCCCCACCTTTCTGTTACCCACACAATCTAACCCTCCTATCACAACCCAAAAAAAATAAAAATAAAATAAAAAATTGGTCACTACCCAATGTTAAAAAAAAAAACTTCAACTTGGCAACAAGATTGAAACTGAAAACTTGACTTGACCCCATAAATCCAATACCTTGAAAATTTGTGGGGTTGATTGGTTTAGAACTGTTCTCATCTGAAATCACCATTATGTTTTGGATGAAGAAACAAACAATCACACACCCACAGAAGGAGAAATCCAAGTCCTAGAAGAAGGGCATCAAATGAAATGTGACACAATGGAAGGTAATATAGGGAAGAGGTAGCAGAGGATAGGGTACACCAATAACAGTGACACTACTACACACTGAAGAGACTGAAACCATGGGGTATTTGTCTGGGGAGACCACTTTTCAAAACTCAACGGCTAGTCACTAGTGACCGTTGGATCGTTTTGCTGGCAAAAACATTACTTTATTTTCTATTTCTACGTTGTTGTCTGTCCTAAGTCCTATTAACGGTAATAACATTGTTGCCATGTGGAGAGAGGCGTGTCGCCGTAAGTAACCCACCAATGGCTTTTCAAAAATCACAATTTTACTATATGACTTTTTGGGATTTCTCATTAAGGTAAATAATATATATACATCCTCATTCTCTTGCGTGTGAATCACTCCTCATTGTAATGCTAGAGCTTGATTTGTGTTGATTAATTATTAAAAATATTGGTATCTATTTATAAATTACAAAATCTTAAAATAAATGTTCAAGGTGGATAGAGTATAATAGGACATAATTTATGTTCTTACATTTAGTAATATATGTGAACGTTAATATTTTCTTCATTTTAAATTATATTTATTATTTAAGATAATTTACAGTAAAGAAAGCACTAAATAACTTCTATTCAAAATATATTGCTCAGTTAAAAAAGTTATTTTTAATATGTGTTTTTAAAATTAATGGATAAGAATATTTAGTGTACTTCAGTAAATATTTTAATTATTTAAAATAAAAATTAAATATTTTTTATATTTTTAATACAATAAATATTCTTAAGAAAAAAATTAGCTAAACCAAAAAATTAAGGATTCACTGGTGACCGTTTTGTTAAAAATTATAATTTTTTTTAATTTATATATATATATATCAAGACTATTTTTAATTAATAATTAAATATTTTTTAAAAATAATAAAATAATTTAACTATATACAACTTTTAACAATTTTTTTTATATAATACATAAAGTAAATGAATTTTTATCAGAATACATATGCACATGCATGCACACTTACTGAAACATTAATTAATTATTTATTCTTTACATTTTATCCTTTTATTTGCTTATATTGTAAATATAATAATTAGTTTTATTGTTATAAAAAATAGATATGTGAAATTAAAATGTTAGTAATTCTTTAATATACTTTTTATTGTTGATATATTTTTAAAAAATAAAACTTACCTTCATTAGTGTAAAATAATACTTTTTAAAAAGTTACTTATTTATGCAATTATTAAAAAATTAATATAAATTAGAGACAATGAAACATTTTTAAATTTTAATGGTTGAAGACTTGTCTTTATTTATAATTTATAATTATTGTTAGTCTGAAAAAATTATATATGATGATATTCAAATACAAGATAAAATATATGTTCTTAATATTAATTTATCTAATATAATATGCTAAAATAATATTTAAAAAAAAAAAAGAGACAAAATTCTAGAGTCTGAACTCCAATGATTGAGTTGAAAATTGCCATTCTTGCTGCTGTGATTCTCTCTTTGTGAGTTTCTATTATTCTCAACGGTAACTCATGTGCGCTCCTATCTGCGCTCTACCGCACTTGGCCATTTGAGCTTTACTCTTTTTATGTCACTTTTTCATTTTTATTTCTTCATTTTTTGGAAAAGGATGCAAATGTAAACACAAATGCAGTTGTTAGAAAAACCCTAATACAAGAGTTGCAAAACAATACTATTCATATTCATGATAATGGTGCACTTTGTTGGTTCAATTGAAGGGTGAATGCAAATTTAAAAACATCAAATCAAATGCACCAAAAAATAAAATTAGATTCTGTTAGCTATAATAAATTCACATTGGAACTGCAACTTTCAATAGTATCAATAGCGGTTTTCCCGTTTCTTCTTTTCAGAAAATAATTAGATTGTCTGCAAATTGTATTTGAATTTTTCTGTTGAAACTAAAATTTGGTTACATTTTCTTTATGAAATTATAAGAATCAGAAATTAATTTTACTTAATTTTTTTATTTATAATTTACATATTTTAGCTGAAGAGTTCACATTAATATTAATAAAATATATATTTTTCTCATGGTACTAATTTTTTTATTAGTTTATATCTGTATAATTTTATTTCCTTGTTAATCTCACAAATAAATTTATTTATTTACATAATTTAACTTTGTAACTAAATAAATACGTTATCATTACCATTAGAAATGGAAATAGTCATTAAGTCATCCAACAGGAATTTATGACTTAAGTTGATTTATTTAAGTAAAAAACTCAATTTAATCTATTTTAAAATATTTAATAAATTAATATGATATATTTAAGCTTAAAAAAAAGCTATTAGACATAATAGAATAACTTATTTATAATTTATAAAATTTATAATAATATATTAATAATTTATATAAATTTTATAATATTATATTAAATAAATTAAATTTAAAAATAAATAAAATCTTGAAATAAAAACTCTAATATTTTTGTTTGAATTTGAAAGTATTTCTATTATATATGTTCTAAGAGAGAACGAGTTATTTATTAAAGTCTTTTGCATTATTACTGGTTAATCTGTCTATTTATATAATGTGAATCTTAATTTATTGTATGTTTAATGATTTAATTGTTTAAATTAAATATGTATTTTAAAAATAATAAATAAAAATATGTAATATAATTATAAATATTTAAAGTGTTAAATAATTTTTTTATAACTTATTTAGATATAAATCTTTAACTTTTATAGAGTCATACATATTTATATGATTTAATAATTTATTTATAAAAAAAATTAATAATTTATTAAAAATTTCAACACAAAGTATATTAAATCATATTTTTAAAAGAGTCAATTAAATATCATCGATTAAGTAAGGTCTTAAGTTTGAGCTTCTATGTATGCAAAAAAATTTCAATGATATACTTATTTACTACATTCAGGTGCATAACCTAAGTTAAATTCAGATTAAATCGGATGAAAAACTAAAAAAAAAAAAGTCAACTAAATAGAAAATATATAATAACAGATAATAAATTAGATTTATATTTTAAAATTATTAAATAAGTGGCTTACTTTTACAAAGTCTAAATTAATTTAATTTATTTTTATTCTTAACTATTATATAAAATATGACTAATATAATAATGAAATTTTTATATTTTTATATTTATGTTATAAATTTTACTAATAATAATAGTATAATTTAAAATTTTTAATAAAATAATGATATATTTATTAAATACCAAAAAGAAAATCATTTATCAGGTCTACTCCACTTCCTTGCTACAAAGATTAATACATGACACATTTTTAGATATTTAGAGTATATAATAATATAACACATTAATTTGAGTTTGGTGGATTTCAAATTCTGAATGAATACCTCTGCTTAGATCTGATGATAGGTTGGGCATTCAACCATGGAATCTAACATCTGGCCAGCGATTTATCCTCTCTCCTTCGAAAAAATTGTGAAAGTCAATGACAACAATTATGCATGAGTGCTTGTTACCCAAATAAGTTTTATTTTCCTCTTGTTTTTTGGCATATTTATGATAAATAACAAAAGAAGTGGAGTAAATAAACCAACTTTAAATAGTTTTAGTGATAAGAAACTCTTTTCTTCTTCTTTTTTTTTAACAAAATCTTAATACAAATTTTGTAAATAAGAAAATAAGCATCCCAAGAATTTAAATTTGATCTTAGAAAAGGTCCACTGATTCAAATTATGAGATCCGAGATGAATCCGAATATTGCCAAGGACACTTAAATCTAGGTGTTAAAAGTAAACCACTAAAAGCTAAAGATCTAACAAGATGAAAATAAAGGTGCGGCAAATATAATATATATATTAAAAAAACCACTTTGACTTGCAAATAAAAAGATAGCTTGAAAATAAAAATAAATAACTAAAGTTTTAGTCATTATAAATATTATTTTTAAAATTATTCTTTATAAAAAAGTTATTAATATTTAGTTCTTAATATTTTAAAGGGATGAGATATGACATATATAACATATCTAATTAAAAAAAATACTTCACTAGCAAACAAAGAGATAACTTAAAAAATAGAAAGAAGAATAAGATTGAAATAAATTTTTTGTCATTATAAATATTATTTTTTAAATTAGTCTTTATAAAAAAATTACTATTTATTTTTTAATATTTTAAAGAGATAAAATATTAATTTTGGTTAAAGACTAAATTTTAACAAATTTTTTTAATGATAAAAACTAACTTTTGACCATTTAAAAAAGTTAGAGGTTCAACATTTATAAATATTTTTTTTTACAAAGATTAATTATAAAAATAATAAAATTTATAAAAACGAAAAAATTATTTTTTTAAAAAATATTCTCTCTAAAGAACTGTCAACGTGTTCGAAACTTAAGCCTTTCCTACGATAATAGTTGAAATAGAGATGATTCAAATATAAAAAAATTGAAATAGGAATAGTGTAAACAGAAAGAAAATAGAGTAAAAATGATGTATTGTTTGGATGAATAAAATTGAAACCAAAAGGTAAAAAAATGAAAAATAAATAAATGATATAAAAAATATTTTTTTGCTATAATATAAATTTTTTATAGTAAATTAAAAAAAAAATTTAACTTAAAAATCAAAACTTTTTATTATATATTTTTATCTTAATAGAATAATATATATTTTTTATTTTTTAAACAATAAAATAAAATAAACTGTAGCCATGAACACTGCATTTCTAGTTCCAAGAGCAAAGAAATTATTTAGTGTGCGTGTAGGATGGCTCATAGGCCAACCTATTTAACCATGTAAACTTAGGTAAACTAATTAATTTAATCATTTAGTTGTGGAACGGAACAGGCTGAATCAACCCACCCATATTACCTACCTATAATTACATTTGGAGAAAAAGTTCTTCATAATTGCAACCAAAGACAAGTCATAAGAACGAAAATTTCTGAAGTGCAAACTTGCATAATTTACAAGAATTGCGTACTTTGTCTAAAGATTATGTGAAAAACTCTTATTAAACTACATAACATCTAGCACTCATTGCACCAACAAGGCGTGAGAGTATTTTGACATTCACTAAAATGTGTTGGGGGCAAACGTTTTTTTATCTGAAACTAGTAGAATAAATGATACCAAAATGCAAGTGCAAGTATTTCTTCCTATTCATCAAACTACACACGTGATTTTCATGCAACCTTCCAGCAATCACGATAGATCAATACGGCACTTTCATCTCTTTATAGGTTTATATCCTTTTGATGAATTCGCATAACCCATGTAGTATTGTTTTTTTCTTTTTTTCAACTCCATCTTACTGTGTTGCAGTTCATGCGGATACCTGAAAAACCACTTTTCCCTCTTTTTTGTCACAATAAAAGGTGGATGAAAGGGGTATCTCCCAATGGTGACAACATACAGACCCGGGAGAGCCTTATAAAGTACAAGCATAAGAACAATCTAAGAAACTGGATGCCTAGTTTTGAACCCCTAAGTTTCAATCGGAAAAAGGAGAAGAGGCTGATCCTGCTTTTAGCCAAAGGCCTAGCAAGAATATCATCTGCTTCCTATTTCGTCTTTGAACTCCGCTGGGGGAAATAAAATATTTTCTACCGCCAAAATTTGTCATTCATCACTTGGAGACTGGGAGTTGTGGCACACTATGCTTGTTTTTATGTGGTTTTTTTCTTTCTTTCCTGTTGAAGATGTCAACAAGTGATGAATGCGGTCTTTTCTTCTTTAAAACTGACTCACTTGCTGTCTCTTCATCCTCGTCTATGTTGTAGTTGTTAGCTATCACCTGATGATTCTCAGACACTGTAGATTGTGGTGGAGTACATGTATTGTGTTCGTCTATCTTCTTCATATGCCTAGCTTGGTCTGAAGAGCTTTTATTGGCATTAATGATATTCTTCCTATCATTTATCAGCTTTTTTCTGTTATAATTTTTCCTTTTTGGTGAAGTGTCCTTTGTCCTAGATAGATCAACCTTCTGGGTTAACTCAACTAGCTTCTGGTACTCTTCATTACTTTCTTTGTATTCAATTTTCCCAAACAAATCATAATTCCCTGAGCTCATTTTCTCCTCTGCAATACACCTATTCTCAACCAATTTCTGTTTCTTGATTTTTTCTTGCCTATATTCTGGATTTGGTGTGGATAGAACTTGTTCTTCTTCATTCCTTGCCACCAATTGATGGTTTACTGAATCTGAAAGTTGCAACTGACCAATTTCTTCAGTGCCCGCAGTCTTAAGGTGACATTTTTCAGCTTCATAATCCTCCCCATCCCCAACAATTCCACTACTCATAGTTTGAAGAATAATTTTACCCAAAACAAATCCAGTCTCTGAAAGGTCGCCCTTCCCAAGCAAGGCATAATTTATCTTTGAATTTTTTCTTCTTTCACTCTTGAAAAATTCAACATCATTGGCCATCGCTTTAAAAATTGCAGAAACAAGTTTTGCTGTTTTCCTTGACACAAATACCTGAAATCCGAAAAAATTCAGTTGGATTGGAGCCCTTATAATTGCCACAAAATAACATCTTCAAATGGACATAAATGATTGATTTGCAGAGGGTAAAAGATGTCTTAATCAAACCTAAGAGACATGTTTATAAACATGTACTATAAACAAGTTTGCTAAAAAGAGCACAGAAGGATAATATTCCAGTAGAAATGTAAAATTATCTACTGCCTTGTTCCAATTTCCAATAAGCTATGTGATGTCCGTTGACTGTTTGGCCACTTACATTCAAATCTTGGTTTCTTCATCAAAAGAAAATTGTATATGTTTTTTCTTTTCTCAAGCTACGTTATTCATTAACAAGTTACTTACAGAAATAATGTTAACCTTTTAGAGGTATGTCTTGCTAGTGCAAATGGACTAAATGTGACACACCAAGAAACTGTTTTTATTTGGATAAATTTTACTCCTTTTCTTACTTTACAATATCATTTGAAAATGAAACAACGCAAAAATAAGCTACCAAATGAGTTCTCAAAGATATAGCAGAAACATTTTCTTCCAGAAGTCGATATCCAGAGATCATCAGAACAGTGTTCTCAGATCACCTTTAGGAGAACACTAATGAATGAAACCAACTTCATTGCAAAGTTTCTATTCTTGGACATTGATATTATCGAATTTCACTTAGCCCATTCTCATTCAAGACCTTGTTCTGAGGGATTGATCCATCTGAGATTTCTGTCTAATATTGGTTACTTCAGACTGAACACGAACTAACTCTATCCTTTTATGCCCCAAATCAAAATTAAATCACAAAAACACGACATTGATGCATTAGATGACAATTTGTGTAAAACATGACCCAGAATGAGTTGACACATCTCAAACTCAGATGAATCATTATGCACTTGATACTGGTGCAACTATTATGCAATTATCAACCTTGTAATTTTCAAACCTTAGCTAAATAAATGAACATCAAGGTAGATTTACTTACCATGCCAGATTTTGGAAAAGATGGGTATTTAGACATGAACTGAACAAGACTATTATTTTCAACCAGAGCGGGTATGGAGTGCATCACCAAAGATGCCAATTTAGTGACTGCTTTTGCAATTTCTTCATCTGATTTGTATATACTGGACGTTCTTATTTCAGGTGCAAAATTAACACTTGACTTTGCACATTCTTTAGCAAATTTAACACCTTCTTCCCACTCCCCATGACGTAGAACAGAAGCAAATGCCCACACTACAAGAGCATCTTGAGGATTATTTACTAATGCCAAGTGAAATGCTAGCAATCCAATCCTGCAATATATACAAATAAACAATCATGCACAAACACCCATCACAATCCAATTTTAGGGTTAATTAATTATATATATATTTGTTTTTCTGTTGGAGAGGGGATTTGTGTAACAAACAGCACTAACAATAACTCACCATACAATGCAATCACAAGGTCGATCACATGCAACCAAACTATCCAGATGGAAGAATAATTTCTGCAAAAGTAACTGAACCATAAGAGGTGAAAGCAGAAAATTTTGATACCAAATGTGCTCTTGTTATGATTATGACTAGGGCCATGCTCATTTGAGTCTGTGGAAATGAGGAGGAAAAAAATAGTAAGTATTTGGGCACAATCAAGTCCTCATACCTTGCCATATTTGTATTATTATTTTCATCTAGACTTTATTGTGTCATACATATTCAATTTTTTGCCCACTCATGTGAATATACCCTATGAATATGTGTGATTCTCTCCATAGTTGTACTACATTTCTTAGTGTTAGATTGATATCATGTAACTTACTATCCAATTTATCTTTAGTTTTAAAAAGCAATCTCTTCTCCAATAATCAGAAAAGTGGTAATAACAGTCTACTACGTCCTTAGGTTTCAAAGTTTTTAAGTGAAATTTCAGCTAGTTATGTGTGCAAATTAATTATAGGATTACTCAATCAATTTCACTGATCAAATAATTGTATTTTGAATAACAATCTTTCATTATTAATTGCAATATTTGTCTATAAACAGCAAAGCATTCAAATCCTAATCCAGTTAACAGTGAACAATCAAATTATTGTAGCATATTCATATAGCTTATAATGACTTTATCTTTGCAAGTTTGGATTCTTTGAATCAAATCAAAATAATATCATAAAAAGCTTGTTCTACCATTATTTTGCAAAACTAACTTACCATCAACATATTGGAAGGCTGAGCATCTTCTTCAATCACCTGCTCATCGAGATATGCTGCCTATAACCAACTAATGAGTATACTTGTATTTGGCCAATAGGCATAATACTAAAAGTCGGCAACTCAAATCCACTTACATGTACAGGAAGGAAAAATTCAAGCAATTTGAATTTCCAAAGTAGGCGCAGAGATGTTTCAGCAGCTCCATATGACAGCATATAGTTCAATTCAATCATTATTTTGCTCTGAAATATATAAAGAGCAACAAGAAGATGAGAAATGAGAGAGTAAAAAACTATAATTAATTTGATATCTGAAAATAAAACCTTACAAGTATATTGTGCAATAGACAGATTTACATTTTTTCCAAATGTCAATGAAAAGAATACAAATGAAGTGCAATAAAAAGAGAGAGCATTTCTACACAGCCCATGGGCAACAGATATGAGAAGCAAAACCAGTAAAACTAAAAGATGATAGGAAAATGCTAATGCGGAAATCAGGCAGCATATCATCATCATCATAAAATTCCAATTGAGGTACCTTGTCCAAGCTCTTAACTAGTGAAGAATATGTCCATATTGCATCCTCAGTCTCTCTTGATAATGATAAACCAAGACGAGCTGCAATTCTGAAGCCGCGCAAAATTCTTCCTACACACAAATTTTACATGCAACAACATTTTCATAGTGGATGTTAAATTTAATCTATCTGATTCCTAACTTCAAGATGCTGATGAGAGTATGATGCTACCTACCAGGATCCTCTTTAAAGGACAGCTGAGCAGGGATAACGGTTTCAAGCTGAATCCATATCACCAAGAATAATTATATATTAGCATACTAACAAGTTACAATCATGTTGGAGGGTGTAAAAATTCATTGACAAATCAAATAAAGAGTTACCTTTAAGGATTTCAAATCGGCCATTCCATTGGTATAATCATAGATTTTACTGGCAAAGGGGTCATAAAATAAACTGCTTCCACAATAAAAAAAAACGGATTAATAAGACAGAGCTAAAGATTAAATATTATAAAGATAAAATTGAAAACTTGTTATAACAACTTCCCACCTTTGCAACATAATCCAAAAACCCATCTTAAAGAGAAGGTAAACGTTTAAAACATTAACTATGTACAAAGCAAGCATATATCCCATAAGCTATATATTTTTTTTTAAAAGAATAAAAAAAATAAGATTCCAACAATACCTATTGATTGTGAAGTCCCTGCTCAAGGAGTTTTTGCAGCGAAATAAGTCTTCTTTATTACTGCATTTGGGCAACAGAGAATATAAAATCTTTTCCTTACCATTGGAAGTTCGTGCCAATGTCTCAAAACTGGTTACCTGATACAATATAAATAAATAGGTTAATTCATTTATTGAAATTATGTTAATCAAAGAAGGCCCTCCAAAGGAAGAGCAAATTAAATCATGCTTAATTTGTAGCTTAAGAAAAGGACAAAGGTAATCTTGTATAACAACCCAATGGACAAACCTCAACTACAGAACCTTTTATATGGACCAAGCATACTGGAAAACGTCGTCCAACAATTTGAGCACGACCTAAACGTCGAAACTGCTTTCTCACCTGTTAGATATCATTAGGGAAAAAGGCGTCTTGAAACTCAGTACAAAAAGTACATTGTGCTTCTATGTAGTTGATAAATTGAGTCATTGTCATAAAACCTGCATAAGCTCTGCTGTTGTGATAACATCAAAATCTTTTGGAGTTCTATTAAGTAGTAGATCTCTCACACACCCACCTACTAAATAGGATTCAAATCCTGCAAATTGTAAGAGTTGAAAGAATCTATTTATTAAAAAAGAAAATAGGGGTTCCAAGATCAGTCTGATTATGCTTTTTTCCCCTAGTTCAACTAAGATCAAGCAAGCACCCTTTTTAAAATGTGCGGGGAAACAAGGAAATTGTTGACAATATTTCAAATTATCTTGTGAACATTTTAGAATATCTTAACATATCTCTGATATCTTAGCAACCTTTCGATTATATCATAGAATCAATTAGTCATCAAATTGAGGAAACAATCTTAAGAATTGTTTCCTATTTATTATGGTTTATGTGTTGCTCTCTTATTTAAATACGGTTAGTCTTCTTACCGTACTAATGGCTTGGGCTTTTACTAGTAGTACTACTATACCTAATAGCTAATATAAATTGGACCATTGAGTCAGTATTTTGTATCATGCTATACACACCATTTCATTATATTCTTCTCATATTGATTATTCCTTTTGTCTCTCTTTCTTTTTCTCTGTCAAAGCCCTATATTTCAACAGAATTATCCTTTAACCTCGTTGACTAGCAATTCCATCAGCTCAAAGCTGAATCAACTGCTCAAGGCTCCAGGTATCTACAATTCTACTGTCTACGAGATTAGGAGTAACAAGTAAGAGAACTTAGTTACTAAGATCAGACTTTCAAAATCAAGGTACAATCAAAATAAACCGGCAAGGAAGGCAATGCTCATCTTTTGTCGTAATTGGTGAGTTTTCCGTACATTGCATAGGTATTATTTAATTAAAATAAAAAACTTAAATAATAAATTAAAGATACATCATACAGTTATTTTTTAATTTAATAAATTTTATAATTTTTTATAAAATTAAACATTTAAATATTAATAATACATATTTTATTATATTAAATACAACTAAATTAAAGAAATATAATTCTTACAATTAAAAATAAAAATTAATATTAAATTAAAAAAATTAAATACCCAATATAAGACAAGTCGCATGGCGTAATGAAAAAAAGAATTAACTTTTGAAAAAGTTTTCGTTTAAGAATGAAAACTCATATTTATATATAGTGATAGATTAGGGAATAAGACGAGAAGAATTGAAGAATAAAAGATTTACAATCCTGTATATGATCTCCCTTAAGTAAAATGTCACAGAGTATGAGAAAAATCTCACCTTTGCTCCGAAGAAGTTTCAGGACAAGCCAAGATGGATGTGAAATCATAGAACTAGTTACACCAAGCTTCTTTGCATCCAAAGTCTTCCATTTCGAGACATCAATGCGGCCTGAATAACAGCTTAAAATTATGACCGGGTCTCAAAATGCACATGACCAAAACTTTACTATGCGTTTCTACTTTCTACACAGGTCTGAAAACTGATTTTGGGTAACGACTTCCCCTCAGTATCAGATATGAGAGTTACAAATGTGTTTATGTGCATTCTGCTTGAAAATATCACAGTAACTTCATGAGAAAAATAAATTCAAAAAACACGAACCAAAGTAAAAAAAGAAAAACTTCCAATCCTGGTGCTAAGCAGATGAAATAAAATGCACGTGCAATAATTTTACCTTGGTAAATGGAGTAATCGGAGCCCTTTTCTGGAGAGGATTGATCTTGCACTGGTCCTCTGGGCGCAGGGGAGTGAAAGCCCTGCACCAATGATTTAGATTTGAGAATTGTCACAAGGTGTTTGATAAATTGCCTGAACCACAGTAAGAGAGTATTAGTGGGTGTTAGTGAACCTGAGAGTTGATGAAGGTTCTCAAACGAGCAAGCACACCACGCTTGTTGTTGTTGTTCACTCTGAGGGGATTCACCATTATTAGAATTGGAGCATCAAACAACTACTTCAGCGCTAACCACTAACTCCCACCACCTTCGTTCATTTCGAACGGCACTGCTTGGAAAGTTGCTGGTTGTTAAAAGTTGTAAACCCTGCTTTATAGTTGCGCTTTTTTTTTGGTTTAAATACTATTGAAATTAATTCGTTCGTAGATATTTTAATCGTATTAAACTGATCAAAACTGATTATGTTAATATTTAAAATAAGGATTTTGTCAAAGGGACGAAGATAAGCAGTAAAGTTTTATTAATAAGAGAAATATTTATTATATTTTTATAATTTTAATATAATAATTGTATTTTTTTTAATAATTTTTTTTATTTATAAATATTTAAATTCAATTTTAAGAGTTAATGTTAATAAAATTCTTAAAATAAATATTTTTTTAACTGTGTGTGATTTTTTTTATCAGATTATAATAATTTATGTTAGTATCATTTAACTGTTATAAAAACGTGTTATTATACAATTAGCTGTGTTTGCGAGATATGGCTAAATTCAAATTGTATATCCTGAACTCTGAATATGCGAAAACCTAAGTTACGCATGCAACGTGTAACTTATATTTTTTTTAAATATTGTATTCTTAAAATATGACTTTGATGTCTGTGAATGGTTTTCTCAGAATATGTAAATGCTACATTGAATAATGTAAGTATTTTATATATTATTATTCGAAGTACAAGAATATGTAAATGCTACATTGAATAATGTAAGTATTTTATATATTATTATTCGAAGTACAAATTTATATTTTATTTTTTTACAATAACATATATATATGATGTATGTGTTTATTTGCCATTTTATGAATGTAATGTCTATTAGGTGTTGTTCCATTGACGTATAATTTAGATATTTTAGAAAATTCAGATTACAAGAAATAATTAATGGTATTTAAAGAAGAGTTGGTGAAATATACATATAATTTATGGATTATGGATTTATGGATTTATGGATTTAAATGACGTTAAATAAACTCTTTTGTGTTGCTAATATTTTTTTTATTGATGCATCGTAAAATATTTTAATATAAAAAGTGATAAGTAAAAGTTTTTAAAACTAACAATATTTGCATTACCATATTAATTTAAAATGTCATAATAAATTAGATTTTTTTCTTATTTATAACTTAAATTAATGCATCGTATCTACATTTAAATTTATTTTAAAAGGTTGAAATTCTTATACCGCATTGTGATGAGATGTCAGATAAAAAGGAAAAAATATAACAAATACAATAAAAATGTAAAAAAACATCTGTTATTTTTTTTAATTGAAAAACATCTGTTATTTGAATGAGTTAAAGAACATTTACTTGATCCACTGAATTTGATAAGTTAATGTCTTCTTATTTTATTGGCAAAATTGAAATTAAATATAGTCACAAATTTGACGAAAATCAGGATAGGAATAGTGTTAAACATGTAAGGAGTCAATCACAATTTTAACTTTTTGCCATTATTTGGTGTTGCTCACTGGATTTAAGGTGCGTTGCTTTAAAATTTTAATTAAAAAGTAATAACTAATTTTTTTGGTAATAGAAATTCAAAATCGTGTTAAATATTTGAAAACAACTTTAATGTTAGGATGTGGTTATATAAATTTGTAATTAAAATTATTCAATATACTTTAAATTTTATTATTATTTAATAATATTTATATAGTGTACGAAAAAATTAATACTATTATATTTACATTTATTTATATATCCTCCATTCAGGTTTTATGCAGTAGTGGCATCACCATTTTCCATTACTGATTGATTTTTCTCATAAAAAGATACCATTATTTTCATCAAAGTCCTACATTTATATTAATAGTATTTTTATTTACACCCCAACACAGTTTAAAATTAAAAACAAACCCATAACTAGAAATCCTCACGCGCTTTCGAAAGAGCGTGCTTGTCTCGAACTCCTTCTCTAGCGTTACGAAAGTATAAAAGATAATGAGACGGTTACCATCTTTAGTCACGCGCAGGTTGAGCACGTGGATCTAAGTTTCCTGAAAAAGACCAACATCAATTCTTTCCCGGCTTAGGTGGGTTAAGAAGTGTAGGGTCCTTCTTCTCTCTCTCTCTCTCTCTCTCTCTCTCTCTCTCTCTCTTTATTTATTATTATTTATTTATTTTAATTTTCCGATTACATAGCAAATAGCATAAGCATAACACTCGGCTATTTTATTTTTTTCTTAATTATTTTTCGTCGCCGTTTCTCTCTGTTATTTTTTTCCCTCAAATCCACAGCTCTCAAATTCCCATTCGGCTTCAATCGTTCTAGGGTTAGGGTTTCGATCCCCTTTCTCCTTCGATTCGATCTGCGCATTCAGTTAAGGAGTGTGGGACCTGATTCCCCTCCCGTGCTTTGTACGGAGGACGCCATGGGAGGTGACGCTGCCGCTGAGGGTGCCACGACGGAGCCCAACGCCGCTGGAGGAGTCAACATCAACATTCGCTGTTCCAATGGTTCCAAGTTTTCTGTTCAGATTAGCCTCGATTCGACCGTCAGATCCTTCAAGGATGTTGTAGCTCGCAACTGCGACATCCCCGCCGATCAACAGCGTCTGATTTACAAGGGTCGGATCCTAAAGGACGATCAAACTCTCCAAAGCTATGGTATCCAGCCGATCTTGCTATTGTTGATATATTTATCCCTAGCGTTAACTTTGATTTGTTCGCACCTGCGATTTAACGGTTTTCGATTACGGTTTTCCTCGTGTTTTTTATATATAATATAATTAATTAAAAATGGTATATTGTGTGTTTTTTATAATTGGTTTGCTGATTTTTTTTTATTTTGAATTTTTTATTTTTGTCCTTTACTTTGGTCTCTTATAATTATTTGTCTGCCTTTGAGATCCTTGAGAGCGTCCAATAAAGTAATAAGCCCCCCTTTTTGAATTTGTATGGCTTAATAATATTAACAGTAATGTAGGGTTAATTTGTCAACAGATTTGTGGAATTTTCTACGAGCACGGTTTGTATTAGACAGTATAGGAAGTTCAAGTGTTGTATTGATCTTGGGTGAAAACATAACATGGAAAATTATTTTTGGGGCAGCCTAGGTTTCTTCACTAGAAAATTCTGTGGTGTTTCAGAGTGTTTCCTGAATGAGTGAAGTGGGAACACAACTAACTTTTCTATACGTATTTATAGGTCTGGAGGCAGATCATACTGTCCATTTGGTTCGTGGCTTTGCACCTGCCAATACACCTGGTGGGACTAATAGTGGCTCAGCCAATACCACAACAACTAATACGGGAGGTGCTGGTGCTAATGAGAGTGGTGGGGGTTTAGGAGGGCCTGGATTTGGAGCTTCACTGTTCCCAGGATTGGGTATCAATGGAATGGGGGGCAATGGCCTCAACAGCTTATTTGGAGCCAGCTTCCCTGACCTTGAACAGATGCAGCAACCATTTTTGTCAAATCCAAATTTAGTGAGAGAAATAATGAACACGCCTGCTATGCAGAATTTGATAAATAATCCTGAGATAGTGCGGAATCTTATAATGAATAACCCACAGATGCAAGAGCTCATGGATAGAAACCCTGAGCTGGCACACATACTTAACGATCCGAGCACTCTTCGCCAGACACTTGAAGCTACTAGGAATCCTGAGATCATGCGTGAAATGATGAGGAATACAGACAGAGCAATGAGCAACATTGAATCTTCTCCTGAGGGATTCAACATGCTGAGGCGCATGTATGAAAATGTTCAAGAACCATTTTTAAATGCCACTACAATGGCTGGTAACACAGGCAATGATAGTGCAGCAATCAGGAACCAATCAACTAATCCCTCAACTACTAGTTCTGAAGCAACTTCCCCTGTACCCAATACTAACCCACTTCCAAATCCTTGGTCCTCTACTGGCAGTAAGTTTTCATGCCATAATTTTTCCTCAAATCCAGTGACTGAATGAATGCCTCATTTTCATTGAATGTTTTAAACTGTTTTTACTTTTGATTTTTGGCATGTTCTAAATTTGGTAGCTACATTTCTTTGTGGCTTGTGGCTAATACTGCACTAATTGATGTTAAATATTGAAGCTGGAGGTGCACAAAATAACACCAGAAGGCCAGCTACTGGTGGCGATGCTCGACAGCAGGCTCCAACTGGCTTAGGGGGGCTTGGTCTGCCAGATCTTGAGGGCATGATGGGTGGTATGCCAGATGCTGCTTTATTGACCCAGTTAATGCAAAATCCAGCTATTTCACAAATGATGCAAAGTATGCTTTCCAATCCACAGACTATGAATCAGGTATTTTCTTACTGTTGGATCCTACGAGTTGTTAATGTTTTGAATTGATCTCTAACACCTTATTTACTTTTAGATTCTTGGTGCCAATGCTGAGCAACGTGGCATGCCTGATTTAAATTCTCTAAGGGAAGTGATGCAAAACCCTGAGTTCCTTCGCTTGTTTTCCTCCCCTGAGACACTGCAGGTAGACAAGTTTAGAGTTCTGCATCTGTTGAGAAATTTGACTTGGTATTCTCAACTATAGAGTTGTCTACATGTCTTTGCTTGCATGAATAATTATGTGGTCCAATATTGAAACTTCCTAGTCATATATGCTTTTATATATGTTATGAAGAATGGTAATTTTGAATGCTTCTAAAGCTTTTTTCCTTTTGTTTCTTTGCTGATAATTTCTAATAACAAGTATCAGCTAAGTGGACTGAGTGCTGCATTGATCAAATGGGTGGATTATGGTCTTCTAGCTAAGTATTTGGAGAAAATTTGATTTTAACATTGTGTGATTATAGTTTATGCTTTTTTTTTTTTTTTTTTTTTTTTGCATTGAAAATTTTGTTCTGTAAAATGTAATCTAATATGAGAAAGGGGTTGTATTGTTTTGTTTGCCTATATAAATTGACACTTGTTTTAAGTAATTTTCTCACAACTGCACATTGTATTTGCAATGGCAGCAACTATTGTCTTTCCAACAAGCCCTTCTGTCTCAGCTTGGTCAGCAACAGTCAACACAGTAAGAAATGGAGTAATCCTTGCATTCTTATTTTTACATGCCATTTGTTTCTTACTCCATGAAAAGAAACAAGAACTTATATTAATTATTACTAACTGGATTTGTACCGGAATGTGCCAATGTCTCAATCCTATACCTAATGATGTAGTTATTTGTTTGTCTCTCCCTGGTACATCTGTCACTACTGAGCTCTTAAGCGTAGACAAAATCTAATTTTCCAATTTCCATGTGTAGTTGCATGAGCTATTTCCATAAAGAGTCATTTTTGTTGGTTTTACTTTTGCCTGTGGTTATTGTCAGATCAGATGCTATGCAAAATATGAGATTTTGGATTTCTGTCTAATAACTATTCTTAAAAAAGGAAATTTTTTCCTTGTCTAAGAACTGATTTTTTTATATGTTGCTTTTAACTTTTGCGGAACATTACTGTCATGCTATGCTTGAAATATAAGATTTTTGTATTTTGTCCAATAACAATCCTTGGAATGAGATGGCCTTCACTATCTCTACCTGTAAACTCCCTTGCGGTGCCAGGGCTATGATAGGAAGCCAGAATCAGGTTCTGAATTTTCAGAGGAAGTTGAAAAAAAAATGGGAAGGAAAAAGAATAATTTAGTATTAATTGGATTACAAATAACCTAATGCTATGTTAAATGATTACAAAACAGTATGAACCACTTTCTACTCTCCCCCTCCTTTTTAATCTAGTCACCTAACTTGTTCTGTAACTAATTTCTTTTAACCGACTCCAGCTACTTCGGCTTATTTCCTTTTATTACATGCATTTTTTTCTTACTGAACCATCATTAATTTTTGCACTTTAAGCATCAAACAGAATCTGTATACAACACAGCCAATAGGGGTTTGATTCATCTTGTTGACCTTTTGTTCATGGCAATTGCATGATTTGGGTTTGAGTCCAGGGTTCCTTGGAATGAAATGTTGAATCCCACTGAAAATCCTTGTTTAGATTGGTGATTTGAGCTGGCAAGAGCCTTTCCTCAGTCTAAGTTTTTTACACAAAAAAAGCTGCGTACAACACAATGTCTCTTGAATTGGATTTTTTCCTGGTGACTAAATAAGTAGTTATGGCTGAAATTCGGATGCCCTTGAATTTATTTTGTCATTTAATGTTTGTCGCTGGTTTTTTCTTCGGTTAATCTGGTATGCTTTTTGCAGGGAACCGGGTCAAACTGGTGGAGGCACTGGTATGCAAGACATCTCTGCGTTCTTTTCGGTTTCTGTTTAGTGCTAGAATCTATGCTCTTTTAGTCTTGTTTGGAATATTTTGTGGCTGTGGTTTTGCGTTGGCTAATCAAATTGCTTGACCATCTTGTAAAGTCAACTATAAATACTTGATTTAATTGGAAATAAATTATTAGGATCAGTTGAATATTTAATAATTAGGTTTTCTCTTCCACTTGTTATCTGTATCTGTGATATAATCTGGGGTCAGCAGCGAGTTTTTTTTTTCCTGTCAGATTAAAAATGAAAATTTGTCTATTATGAGGTAGTGTGCTTAGTCTTTGCTCTGACAATAATATGTAGTGGTAGACATTGCCTTAAAGCCTTTCTAAACAAATTTAAGCTGCTCCAAACAAACAGCAATCAAAGGGGAAGGTTTTAAGTTTGAAGGTGGCTGATGCATGATACAATTGCCATTTCATTACATGCAAAAATTATGCTCTTTTTTTGTAATTGCTATTGAAAATGTTTACTGGTAGGACCGTTGAACAACTTGGGGCTGGAAATGTTATCAAGCATGTTTGGTGGTCTTGGAGCTGGTAGCCTGGCTGTTCCGAATAGATCAAATGGTTAGCATTGTTTCTTAAATTTCTAAATAGATTTTATTCTCTCCTAGATAGATTTGTATACTGCTCTCCTTGACCTGAGCGACTTTGCTGTTTAATCAGAGCCACCGGAGCAGTTGTATGCCACCCAACTTTCTCAGCTTCAAGAGATGGGGTTCTTTGACACACAAGAAAACATAAGGGCTCTTATTGCTACATCAGGAAATGTTCATGCAGCAGTTGAGCGGCTTTTGGGGAACTCCGGGCAGTAGCACAGGTAATTTTGGTTGATTTCCTTTCGTAAAGTTCCTTCCATGGATTGCTGAGTATTTGAATAAAGTCAGAAATCTGGCTAAATTATAATGGCCAGAACTTCGAATTGACATGATGGTGTATATGTTATACGTTGGACTGATTCAGTGATCATCCTTCCCTTTCGAGTTCTTATTTACTTTCTTCATGTACATAGCAGCATAGCTTAAACATTTTCAATATTGTTAATGTATTAGTTTTTTTTTTGTTAGACATATCTTAATACTCTAATAACTCCCATAATTACTGATTTGGCAGGTGGTAAAAGAACACGGGACTAGCAATTAAATCTCAAACGCTAGAATCTGGTGTGAGATATTTTATCCATTTAGCTTCGATTTTCGTCATGGGAATTATGTTTAAAAAATCTATTGAATTTTTTTACATGATATCCATAATTTAGTATTACATCAATACTCCAGTGTCCAATGATTAACTATACATTTAGCTACAAGAAGTTCAAGGGCCTTTTGTACCATATACGTGTAATTCTAACTTGCCCGTTTGCAAGGATTGGCTTCATACATACATTCAAAAGAAGGGGGTTTATATTGGAATATGAATTTAAACTTATAATTGTGAAAAAAAAAAAACTTGTCATTTTAGTTAATCTTGTTATAAAATTCTTCAAAACTAATTCCCTCCATTCAGACAAACCATACATTATGTTATTACCGAAATGTTTTGAAAATTTTTGTGGAATGATATATTTGTATAACTCCTTTTAAAGGTAGGCTATCCTCAATGTTGATTTGGGAAATTTTCTTTGATTTTCTACAAGGGAAATGTCTCCATATGTGCTCTTTGGTAGTTTTGTTAGTAAGATGACTTGGGGGGCATTCCAATTTTCTTAAGCTTGAACATACAGGAATTTGGCGTGTTCTGATTTAGGCTTAACCGGTTCTGTTGATAGATTAAACAAAGTGTCACTAAAATATGTATAAAAATAATAATACGAAGCATAAGAAACTATCTACCAAACGTGAAATATTAATTCTTAAAAAGGAGGAAATTCTATGGTTAGCTATATCATCTTGATAAATCGGTGATCTGATAGTATCTCGTGTATTCGTATAACAATTGGAGGTTCTCTATTTCTTCCCATTTTACTATTCCTCCTATCTCTCTCTCTCTCTCTCTCTCTCTCTCTCTCACTTTCTCTCTCGTCTGACTTATAACATATCCCTTATAAAATTACAATTAAATCAAAGACAAAATCCTACAAATTCCGCCTTGCATAAGTATCAAGGAGCCTTTCAAATTTCCTGCAAAAAAATAAATAAATAGATATATCAATACTTGTATGTCTCACTGATAAAATATATATTAACACTTTAAAAAATGAGAAAGTAAAAGAAAATAAAATTAACGGTAAAGTTGGAAATTTTAACAAATTTAATAAGTAATTCATTCAGTGTTAAAAATCATATTGGTGATAAAGATTCAAATGAGTTATCATTAATATGATAAGAATTATATGACATAACATAAAGGGAAAAATATCCTAGAAAAGACAAATAATCTAATAGATAAATCATTGTCATTATGAAATTTAAAGCTTTACAAAAAAAATAAAATAAAAGTTAATCCGATGATCATCTGTATGTTATTTGTCAAAAGTTTGACATTCAAGAGGTAAAATATCAATCTTTCAAATTATAAATAATTAGTTTAGTAGTCGTGGCTTGTAAAATAAAAATACATATAATTTAATAATTCAAAAAAGCTTTATGTTTTGTAAATAATAATAATAAGATAAATATAAATAATAATTTTATTTGAAAATTATTTTAATTTTACTCTATAAGTATGAATATTATGTATTAAAATGATAAAGATTTAATAAAAATAAATAATTTTAAAACATAATTAATTTTTTATTAAATATTTTTATTATATAGTGTATACTTTTTTTAATTAAATATAAAAAATTAATATATATTAATTATCATAAATTTAAGAGAAAAATTCTTAAAAGTAAACTTTAAATTTAAAAAAAAAGATGATTTATATATTATAATAAAAAATTAAATAATAACTTTAATCTCTAAATTTAGAACAAAAATAACAAAAATATAAACACAAAATAAAATTATTACAGCAAAAGAGAGTAATTAATATATCATTTGAAGTTAATTTTAATTTTAAAATATATATGTAGCGAATTGTGAATGAGAGTAATTCCATGAATGCTTCATTTTTTAAATAATAATTTTTTATTCATAATATAAAGGTTGATCAATGGGTAATTTAATTATTAAATACTAAAGTAAATACATATATCATGCAATTAAATTTATTAACTTATGTGAAGTCAAAAAAGATAAAACAAAATAATGAAAATAAAAATATATAAATTAATTTATGTTATTTAAGAATTGATATTTATATATAATATTTATACTTTAAATAATTTTACTAAATATTAACTTGAATTTTTTTCAATGATAAGTTGAATGACCTGTGTTTTTTCAAAACTCTGATTTACAGAAAAATGTTTGATATGGTTGAAACCTTAATCCTAAATATTAAGCGATCATTTGGTTTTAAGGAATATTTTTTGTTTTTTAATTATAAAATTAATATTTAATTTTACTTTTTCAGAAAAAGAATTTGAGACAAACAAACATCTTCCTTAAAATCTTTTTTATTTTGTCTCTGGATATGTAGATCATTTTTAAAAAATAATTTTGAGACGAAAAAAATCTCTCCATAGAAATCTTGTAAAATTTGTCTTTAAATATATAGCTTGTGTTACTTTATTTAAGTTTTCATTATTTTAGGGTTATAACAATCATTATAAGACTACGCAAAATTTATTTTTAGGCGTTTGGGAATAATATTAAATTTTTGTTATTGTGAGTTATCTCTTATTTCTGCAGCATTTTGAAATTAATGTATAAAATACATGAATCTGTTATTTTTAAAAGGGAAGAGTTAATATTCCTGAACAATGTCATTATTAATGAAACATTATATATATGTTTATTTGATAAACCAACAATAAAATTGCACAAAGAACATAGATAAATGTTCATCATTTTTTTAAATGTAAAAATAATTTAATTTCTTATTGATTAAAAGCCCACGAAATGAAGATAATGTTATACAAATATATGGTATTTTCTTAAACGGTGTCATATATAACGTTTTAATGTATTAATCCTGTAACACAATTTTATTTAAATATATTTGTTATCAACTTTCATTTTGTCACCTCTAAATATAGAAAAATAAAATAAAATTTAAAATGTCGCACCATTTTATTTAAATAATCTTCACTTTTAAACAATTATTAGCCATATATAATTTATAATTAACCTTATTTGGTGTTAAAAATCTAACTGGTTAGTAGTAACCCAACTTTTAATATTGATATATTTTTTTGTTAGTTTGTTTGGTATATTATAAGATTAAGGCAGACCCTTCCTTTACAGAGGGTTGATGCCATTGCCATGAGTGCTGAGACTAATCCCATTCAAAAGAAGGAAGGGTCTTACAAAAAGGAGGAGAAAGAAAGTCCTTCGTCCTTCCCAAGTGTTGAAACTTGACAATGGTGATATATTAAAAATGTACTTGTCAACAATTGTTAGAACTTATTTTAGTGTATTTTTAAATATATATTTGTATGGTGGAATAATATGCTAAATTTTATAAAATGTTTATTTGTGAATAATTTTGAAGGAATGAATGGAATGATAATAGGGACTTCAAATTCCCATTATTATTCATATAACTATAATTTTTTTTGTCTCATTCCTACTAAAGTAAAGGGTAAAATGAGTGAGAGGGTGAAATGCCTTTTGTTTTTGGAATGGCATATTTCATTGTATAATATACCAAGCACTTTCTTTTTATTTTAATATTATTAGCCATTCCCTTCCATTCTTTGTGTAAAAAGAACTTGTCAAGCAGTTAGTTAGTTAGTTATTGTTTTGTTACAGTTTGTTATTGTTGATATAGTCTATCAATTTTATCTATGTGATAAATACCCCTCTTGTATTCTTTTACAAATTTAATAAAAAATCATTTTAGTCTCTTCTTCTTCATGATCACAAACTCTAATATGGTATCCAGAGCTTTCTAACCATGGCTTCCAAAACCTCCTTCAATCCTCAAATGTTTCAAACTCTGATCTCAATCAAACTTGATGATGAGAATTTTTTGATTTGGCAACAATAAATTCTTGCCACAATTCGAGGTTTGAATAGTAGATTCACTAGCTGGATGGATTCTACGATTTCTGATGATGATCATATAGAAGCGATTTTAGATGGCTTACCTAAAGATTATGATTCTTTTGTTACATCGCGTTTAGATCCATAAAATGTTAATGACATTGAGGTACTTCTAATGGCTTAAGAAGAGCGTTTTTTGAAAAACACAATAAAGCTGATTCGAATCTTGTTCTGGCTAATACTGCTTATGGACCTAGTTATTCTTCTGACAGAGGAAGAGGAGATAATTCAAATTTTAGAGGATGATATAACAATTGCGATGGTAGATCCAACTTTTGTGGTGGTTATAATTTCAATCGAGGAGGAAGATACAACAATGGAAGAGACAATGGTAGATCGAACTGGGACAAAACTCAAAAAATTTGTGGTAGGCTTGGACACTTAACAATTGATTGCTGACATAGGTTCAATCAAGATTTTTAAGGTCCTCCTCAAGCAAATCACAATCAGTATCAAAGTTTCTCTCAATCTGATCAAGCATTCATGTGAACACCAACAACTATTTTGGATCCTCTCTAGTATCCAGACAGTGGAGCAAGCCATCAGATCACCAATAATGAGAGTAACCTTTCTGTCAAGACTGATTACACAGGAAATGATCGTGTAAAAATTGGTAATGGGTCAGGTTTGATCATTAAGCATATTGAAAATTCTAAATTCTATGATTCTGAGTCAAACAATCACTTTGTTATGAATCAGTTATTACATGTTCCATCAATTACAAAGAATCTTCTTAGTGTGTCATAATTTTATCGAGATAATCAAGTATTTTTTGAATTCCATGCTAATAAATGTAATGTCAAACATGAACATACCAAGGAGACTCTTCTTCAAGGCAAGTTTAGTAAGGGTCTCTATGTCTTTTCCAAATTTCAACATCAAAACAATATTTATGCTTTCCATTCTGTAAAAGATTTTTCACTCACAGCCTTAGAACTTTGGCATTCAAGACTTGCTCATGCCTCTCTTAAAACTGTTAGATCAGTACTCAGTCATTGTAGTATACTATGTAATCATTCTACTACTTCTTTGCTTTGTCAATCATGCTATATGGGTAAGGCACGTCAGCTTCCTTTCTTTACCTCTCAATCAATGTACATTATTCCTCTTGATCTTGTATTCATAGATATTTGGGATCCAACCCCCTTAACTTTTTCTAATGGATCAAGATATTACATAATATTCATTGATGTATTTTCTAGATATACTTGGATGTATTTGCTTCAAAATAAATCTCAAGCATTTACTGCTTTCCTTCAATTTAGATTTCTTGCTGAAAAACAACAATCTGATAATGCAAAAGAGTATTTCACCTTTACTCCTTATCTTACTGAATAAGGG